CTGTGCCGGACTGCTTGTCTGTAACGTTGCAGCGAAGCTCCAGCAGGAGCCTGCAGGACCAGACATCAGCAAGCGCGGCTGTCACGGCAGAAGGATCCGTGATTAGCAGGACGGTTAGAGTGGATCCGCCAGTACAGCCATCGGCACTTGTCATTCAAGGTCCCCCCCTCTAAGGTTTCAAGTCTCCCGGAGGTCGGGAAGGAGGAGGCCTTTTGTTTATAGGAGAACAATGCTGTGCATGAGACCGCACGGCCCCCGGGCCTGCAGTCAAAACAGGGCAGTCAGACGAGCCGTCAGACACGCAGAGGAAAGGTTGGGGGGCCTTGAGGGGGGGGGGAGTGTTCCCAGAAGATGTGTGTGTCAGACTGTCTGGCGGGTCGGGTCAGCGCACTCGACTGGAGGAACCAGGTGGACAGGAAGGGAGGTTCGGATCGGGGTCAACCTGAGCTGGCGGGGTTGAAGATTCCACGCAAGGAGAAGACCGGCTGATACCCCCCCCCTAATAATAGGTCACGTTTCCCGACAGATTTGACGAAAACAGACCCCCCTCCACACCCCCTAAGCGATAGCTACCATGGCAACGTCCCCCACCCCCCCTCCCCTTCGCTCTAGACGTCACGTGACCTCTCCCTCCCCAGGTGTTTGGCTTGCGTCTGGGCTGACTTCATTGATTCGCCTGCACAGTGGGGCTCCTTTGTGTGGTCGCTTGTGAGAAACCGGGTCTGTCCGTCCCCCCCCCAAACCCCCACCCCACAGGTGGAGAACTTTGCCCGTTAGTGTCTCGGCTTCTTCCTGCACGGACGGAGCGAAAAAAAACAGCTGAAAACCAGTAGTGATTTATAGAGGTTTTTAGCTTTGTCTGCTGTCGTCAGGGGGGGGCAGTAATGTGGAAAGCCATTTGGCTAATAAAGTGCAGACAGCACACAGACACACAAACACACAACACCCTTTGCTCCTTCTGTGAGCGGCCAGGTTTTATTTCCACTCAGTCAGCGACTAGTCTCCTAGTATTTGAATCGTTAAGTAGATGTGCGTTAAAAAGTCCCCCGTCCCCTTCTTCTGTGCTCCTGTTGAACTTTCGTGGCCGTTTTGCTCATTTATCCTATGAAGTTAACGTTAACAAGAGTCTTGTTTCTTTCTGAAAGTGTGTGGAAATAGCGGCGATATGGATGAGAACAACACAACCCTAACCCATTGACAAATTCAGGGAGCCTAAAATCTGACTGTAGATGGAGGCCCGTAATGCTGGTGCCTTTTGTTTATTGTCTTTATTTATTTTTTTCATGTCCACGGCCGTCTCAGAGCTGCAGGAGGCTGTGCGACTGGAATGAGAAACGCAGGCGACACAGAGAGACCCTTCTCTCGGCTTCGTCTCGATACTCGTTGTCGCTATGGCGACGGAGGATTTTAGATGGGCGGAGGTGATACACGCGGGGTAGGAGTGGGAGTGAGGGGGGGGGGGATTTCTTTCCGGACTGTGTGTGAGTGTCTGTCGTTATTGTGACCGAGAAGGAGGAAGTTTGATAATATAAATATTTTTCGAGGCCTGTGGGATAAAATGATATTTCAGGACGTTACCGTAGACCGCAGTAAATTATAATTCAATTTCACTTCTAACATTGCTTATTGTTGATGTTGTCACGCTGTTTGTACTATGACACATTGTGCCCCGATATTAATTGTGAAAGATTTTGGAAAAATGGGTTTGTGCCGACGTGGTTCGAGCATCATTTTGCAGGGTTGATTGTGTGTGTGTGTCTTGACGTTGGTGTATCCCTTCCTTTTTTAAGGTATGGAGAGAGGGAGCACGTAATTACATTTGTCTGTGTGTGTGTGTGTGTCTTGACGTTGGTGTATCCCTTCCTTTTTTAAGGTATGGAGAGAGGGAGCACGTAATTACATTTGTCTGTGTGTGTGTGTGTGTGTGTGTGTGTGTGTGTGTGTGTCTGTGTCTTGTCCAATAACGACCAATAAAATAACAAATGTACGATGCTGTCCTGTAGGTGCACGCTCGCCCTCTTCCATTTCCCGGGGAAGGCTTTTGGCACCGCAACCCCCTTTCCCATAATCATTTTGGTGCCTTCTGTGTGTGAGGCCATTAGTCAACCATTAATCTCCATCTATTGATGAAATTCTGAAAAGCTTTTGTATCAGGGAACAAAATGTAATGGACGTTAATTCATGTTGGGTCATGCTAGACTTGTCCTTTTGCTTTTGATTTAAATGTTTTCATCATCAGATAAAATAGACCCTTCTCCTTTCATTGTTTCTTTAACTTTCCGCTCTCCTGGCTGCGCGGCCTATGTTCAGATCATCAATTCAGATCATCCTGCTTTAAGTCAAAAACAACATCCTCAGTGAATTTCACAAGCTGGAGGTGCGATTGGGGATTTAGATTCATGCAGACCAATGGAGAAGAGAAGAGGAAGCAGCGACCTCCATCAAACCAAACAGTTTCACAGCAGGGGGACGTGGCGGCCCTCCACAACCCGCAGCATCAGCCGCTCGGCCTCGGGGAGTCAGAGGGGGGGAATCAGGGGAAGTGTACATTGTAAATCGCATCTCCACCGAGCAGGAACCTCAGTGCCGAGAAATGAAGCCCACAAGGTGTAAAGGGGGGGAGAACTGCAGTTCCTTAAAAGGCCACTTGAGGCTTGCTCCTAAAGCGAGTCGATCCCCGTATGCCCCCATGTTAAAATGCTCAACTTTACAGCAGAAATAAACACGTTTACAGCCTGGTACAAACCTATTTAGGATCTCTAGAGCTCATTTCCCCGCCCATGACGACTGTACGGGGGTGAAGACTACTTCTAAATTTGAGCATGGATATGATCTAAACTGTTTTCAGTCGTCGCATAACCCCCCCGGACTGTGGACTCTAAACTGAGCCACAGTTGAGCTCACGTAGCGCGTGTGAACCAGCCTGCTGTAGTGCCTTCAATTAAACAGCTTGTATTCTTTGAGTGTCTTCCAGACGTAACGAACAATGTGACCTCCCCGAGCAAACGGATATTTTAGTCAGACTGCCACATAAAGCCGTCTCAGGAGGCCCACATACCTGCGGCTATCATGCCGCTGTGTGTTTTGTGTGCGTTTATAATGACACGGGTTTGTCCTTTTCAGAGGGTAAGGCTGCTGAGGTGGCGGCGCCAAGGTTTGCCTGCGACGCGCAAAGTCACAAACCAACGCTCCCACAGTGCTACATCATCATCATCATCATCATCTATGTATATCATCCTAGCATTTGTATAATGATGCTTTGTTTTCGGCGGCGGGTAACGACAGCCGCATCGTGACAGTTGGATCCTGAGCCTCAGCAACTCCTAATTGGCTTTCCCTGCCACCATTGTCCCCCCCCACCCCCCCCACACGTCCCGCTCCGGTGGGTTTCTCTCCATGTTCTGTCGCTGCTATCCGCCTCTTGTGGGAGCCAGGGAGCATAGTGCTCAATGTTTCCCCCCTCTTGAAGCACCATCAAGTCCCCGTTTTCTCAACATCACGAACGCATCGTAGAAAACTCAATGGCCGCCTGACACCTGTTGCCTTAATGTGCACGTGGAGGCGCACATGTTGTGCCTGATTATGAATTAGATCAGTGGAGTTGGAGCAGAGAATGAGTGGTCTTCTTTTTGTCCTCCCTTATCTCGTTTAATGGTGTTCCTTTGATTTAACACACGTGTGTGTGTGTGTGTGTGTGTGTGTGTGTGTTCCACGCGGCTGAAACCGGTGATTTGTGTGTTTTACATTTTGCCCACACGTCTCTCATAGAGTCCGTCCTCTTCCCCCCACATGTTTCACGGTGAGCAAAACTTTGCGCTCAGACCTGAAGTGATCAGGATGATCTCTGACATGGTGTGTGTCTGAGTTTGTTTCTTATTGGAATGGAGGGTTGAATGTCCTAAGTCTGCCTCTATGGCTGTGCCTTCTCTGAGCTCTCTCCCCCTGCACAGGGTCGAACAACCGTTATTATTATTTCAACATTACCTAATGTTGATGTAGCTTGTTTTACACAACATAAAGGAAAGCATCAAAGCATCATTATCAAATATAGACACCACTTATCTTTGCTGCGGTCCATGAACTGACTCGTTGTTATGTCTGTACATCGAGCGCTGGAGCTCGACTAGCGCACCATTAAAGGTGTGAAAAGAGCTCTGGTGGCAGCATGACGCCTGTCACATGGCAGCATGACGCCTGTCACATGGCAGCATGACGCCTGTCACATGGCAGCTGCCATCTTCAGACAAGTCTGCTGTCATACAAACAAAGCCCTCCATGGCACGGCCAATGTTGTGTATGGGTGCAATTTGTTGGAAATATAATAAGACAATATTTTGGGAGTAGACTGATCTACTTCTGATTCACTGCTTATGAAAAGCTCTTAATATTTTTGGTGTAGTTACATTTAGATTCACTATGCTGAATAAGCTAAAAGTAAAATAGGAGAAACAATTCAAAAGTAGAAATAGACCAGATTAATTATATATTTTATTTCTGTTCTTTTTTAAATGAATACTCAGACTGTGACTGTAGCTCCAGACGTCCAGGTGTTGACGGAGCTTCTTTATCCGTCCACACATACACAGGGTGTACCGAGCCCCGCCTCATCACCACGGCAACCGCCTCCCTCATTAGGATCGATCCCAGGCTGCTTTTGGAAGTGGGAAGAGAGACCCAACCCCCCCTCTACCCTCTTCTCCCTAGCTCAAAGGCTACATTTTGAAATGACACTTTTTAGATTCAAGTATTTTTATAAGTGTGAATTTCTGTGAAGCTATAGCTAAGGAGTAGTTTACTTATTCTGGTTTGTGTTTTCTGCACCAAAGTTGGCTGTTTTTAATCCTACGTGATTTCTGAACGAGACCAATAATGTCCTGTAGCCAAACAATCACATCCCCACCACTTTTCTAACCTAAAATTCTCAAGTAAAAAAACAACTGCTTTTCATTTTAATGTTAAATTAACACTAAACTATTTCTTTCTTTCTCTCTCTTTTTCAGTCCTGTGTGCCAAAAACCTGGTGAAGAAGGACTTCTTCCGTAAGTATCTGAAAGTCACAACGGTTAATGATCAACTTGTGTTTGTGAGTATATGACACGCGATATGAAGTTGTGCCGCTGTCTTTCTTGAACGGCACAATAGGATCCAACAACGATGGATGGTTTTGGAAGCAGGGATTTTGTCCACATTGTTACTTTAACTTCATTCAATTCATACATACTCAATGGTAACGTTTTGCAAAGAGTCATTAAGATGCACTGAATGCATTTTACATTGACGACATCCGTGTCATTGCAGCCACTTTGCATTAGAACACCCAGTTAATTTTCCCCACCAACGACTTTGTAACAGTCGTGTGTTGCGAGTGTTTGGGTGTGTTTGGGTCAGGCTGTCATGGTGAGCGAGCATGTAAAGGCCTTTTGCTCGCTCAGGTGGTTTCTGCGGTGCCCATTCCTGCCATTCCAGCGCGTTGGAGCTGAGCAAACACTCAGTGAGGGAGTTGCTGGAGAGCAGCACTGAAACCGTAGACATCTGTGTGAACTGCATCCATTATGTGCTCGTCTGTTTTGTCAATATGTAGAATAGTTTGGGTGAGTCATTTTGTGTCTAATAATGTAAAACGGCCCAAAGCAGACGCCTTTCCACAAAGCTGTAGGCCAGCTGTTGGCCAGCTGTTGGCCAGCGTCTGGAGGTTGGTATTCGTCCTGATAACCCAGTAATCATTCACTGACTAAGATCTTTCTTCGTTTTTCATTACAACAGATAAAATAAACAAGAGTTGTCTTTGGTAACCATTTTGTGGAAAGTGGCGAGGCGAATTAAGTTGTTTGACCGTGTGTTTAAAAGCACTACTAAGAGGCCAATTGTCCCGCGGCTGAACTACAGCGTTGGGGAGACCACCGCGTCGGTTGAATTCATCGCCATAGCACCGCTGCGCTAACGCTGTCATTTGATTTGTTGGATGTCGATGTGATTTTTCCCCCTCTGTCTCCCCGCAGGCCTCCCTGATCCTTTTGCCAAAGTGGTTGTGGACGGCTCGGGGCAATGCCACTCCACAGACACTGTGAGGAACACACTCGACCCCAAGTGGAATCAACACTACGACCTGTGAGTCCCAGACACCACCTCCTACCTCCCCGGAGCCTTAATCTGATCTAAACAGCAGTTTGAGGCCGCCACCCCTCCTGCTCGGGACCATTACTATGCTTTACAATTTTAACGTTGTTCTTTATTCAATCTCAATGAGTGAGCACACCAGGAAGCAGCGGGCTGTGCCATTAACAGCAACTAAACAGTAACAGATGTAAACAGCTCTTGCATCTGGCCTCTTGTCGATGTTATGTAATGATACAACTTCAGCACCAGCAACGACACTGTGACCGTCCCTGTGAGCCGTGTTCGGAGACACTGAAAAGCAATAGTATTTCCTCCCATCGACTGACACACTTGCATGTCCTGTTGCACTCACATTGCCCTTTTCCCCGGATGGTTTGTCCCTTAAAGGTAAAAAAAGGAGGATAAATAAAAGAGGCACGGTGCGTAAATGTAAATGAGAGAGTGTTAAAAGTTTCCAGTATTCGCCCGGTGTTTATCCGACCGCCATGCGTAGCCAACGAGCGAGGCTGTTAAATTAGCAGCTCATGTCACATTTGACCAGAAGGGAAAAAGTCACGTGCGTATGGTCTGTGCGTCTGGTGTGTGCGTCTGGTGTGTGCGTCTGGAGTGTGCAAGGGGTTGATGGAGAGGAGAGCGCGGACTTGCGGCACCGATTTGTCCCGGCAGCGGCGCGGACGTAGCTGACTGCAGTCTATGTGCAAAGGGTCGGTGCTCCTTCGCCAGGTTAACGTCTTAGCGCCTCCTGCACCGTCTGTGGCAGCAGGACTCTCAGCCGATGTGTTTTATTAGAGGCTAGAAAGCCGTCTGGCCGGCTCACACTTGTTAACTGCAAACACCCGGCGTTCTGACTCCAGCGTGCTGCGTTAAAGCTGTTGGCAGGGACTCTTGTTTTTTCATTTTAATTGTGTATGATGATGTAAAAAGCGCGTTGCCGTGTGTGTTCGTGTGTCCGGGGGTCTAGCCACTCGCAGCCAGATAACTCGCCCGCGAACTGTGACCCTACAGCTTGGTTGCAGGATGCGGTCTGTCTGGCCGCCACGCCTCTCGTCCTGAATCACCATCAACCACAGGATATGGTTGTAATTAATGAACCGTTGGCATAACAAAGACATACTTGTCAGTATTAATCGTTTTATGATTATAATTAATGTAATTATGTATTTTTTAGAGGAGCTTTACAGTGAGCGTATGGAGGCTCCCTTCAGCGGGCACTCAATTACTTTCAGCAAATTAGGAGTCCTCAAAATACATTGTACCTAACATATAGATATAAAATAATAATAAGATATTTACGCCCACACATCCACCCATTTACCTCTCACCATCTAAGCTGAATTGCTTTAGAAGTTCCCAGTTCAACAGAACCGCCAGTAATTGCTTCACTAGATCCTTAATGTCACTGTTTACTAGAATGACAGATCTTATGCTCCTCAATCAATTCAACAACATCAGCGCGCTGCGGTCCTGATAAGCCAACATCAGCGCCGGGTCTTCTCTTTGTTGCCGTAATGAACTGTTTTTCTTTTCCTTTGACCGTATGTTCTTGGCATGATAAAGCTGGTACAAACTGTGCCAAAGATGCCGCTCGTATGAATGCAGTCTGCCGTATAAAATGATGTATTTAAAAATCGCCCTTTTCCCCTTTTTATTGCAATTTTCCCGTTGTCTCGTGCGCTTTGTGCATGTGCGTGTGTTCTATTGCCTATGACTGGTATTAAAAATGTTCGCCAGACTAATGAATTTTTACTGCGTGGAGGCCGATCCAGAGGACTGGGGTTTGGTTGCAATACTTCCCTCCCTTCACATCTGTCTGACTCTGCAGCGCTCGCTCACATCGCACCCCAGACAGGCGTTTGGCACGGACTCAAAATGTCCAGACGTCTTACTCACAGCCCCATTGTTTCATATCCCTTTTGGTAAGCAGCATGATAATTACAGTGGGATGCACTTCTGCGAAGCCGTTCAGAGCGTTCGTTTTTAGACTAAAGGAGGGAGGGGGCCCCCCCCCACAACCCGAGCAGATGTGCCACAACAGATTCACGTGGTGAGATGTTATTACACCCTTGTTCAAGAAGAAGAGGAGAGCATGGAGGAGGTAGGCATGTTTGTGTAGCCACAAAATCAACAAGACATGAGTCAAATCCAACAAGTTAATACTTTGTCCACACGCTTGTCACAGCGTAGCAAGCAACTTTAGTCCGCTCATTGTGTGTTACCCATTTTGCCATTAAAGCATGACGGAATTAGCACTCTAGCTAGCTGACTATGCACAACTAGCTACGATTAGTTACTGAAAATCCACATTGGCTCCGGCTTCCTGTCAGCTTGTTAGCACCGAGCATCTCAGCATGAGCATTAAGCGCAAAGCCGGCGTGTTATCTCTCATCCGCAGTGATTGACTGAGTGCTTCCTCTTGCCGAGCGACGCTTAGCCACGACGTCTTCAGTGAAGAACGTGGCCTCGTGTAGGAAATCCCGTGATTATCCAGTCCATGTGAATACAGTATCGTTTGCAGTGTAGTCAACAAACTTCTCCTGAACAGCTTTAAGAATTATATTACAGCCCTCCATGTTCTACAGCATGATTGATGACTGTATTACCTTTTTCAATTAAGCTGGAATATCCAAAGCTTATCATTCATGCTCCTCATGTATTATATGTAGTATGATTCTAATTTAAAAAGCCTTTCCGCAGACGCGTTGCACCATGTTTTTTTGTCTTCCCATGGTTGCATCGTAGCTACATTTCACGTCATCTCCCCTAACTGCTTGTCTCTTTCTCCCGCTGTGCTACGAATAATGATTCACAGGGTCACAGTCTGCAGGTCTCTGTCTCATACGCAGACGCTCAGGTCAGATTCACAGGTTCACGCGCGCTGGCTGGAAAATCCCCCTCAGTCATCCCACTTTCCTTTTCCCCTTCCGCCTCCACGTCCCGTAATGGGTCACATGCTAAGCTCGGGAGACGTGCTGAGGACGACCTGAGCGAGACTCTCGTCAGCAGAGCTCTAAACCGCTTTAATATGATCAGCAATTATCTGTGAGCCATTATTGAATATTTCATCCTGTTTCCTCTGTGTCTTCCCTTTCAGATACATAGGAAAATCTGACTCCATCACCATCAGCGTGTGGAATCACAAGAAGATTCACAAGAAGCAAGGAGCCGGGTTCCTGGGCTGCGTCCGCCTCCTGTCCAACGCAATCAACCGCCTTAAAGACACCGGCTGTAAGTGTCAGTATTACTCCATTTCCTACTTACATTTTCAAATCTCTAAGCTGAATGGGATGGTCGCTGCTGATTAACAAAAGGAGCCCGATTCCACTTCCCCGCTGTTTATAAAAATATGAATAAAGCCGCCGGTATGCAAACGTTTCGGGAGGATGAAAATCATTCAGTACGTCTGTCGAGCCTCTAGGATGCAAAGAGCGCATGTTCGCGATTAACCATAAATCTATACTATTTAAACTATTGCTGATATTTATAATCTTTACATTCCGGCCACTGAAACGATAGCGAAGGCGGCGCATGCGATAGGGAGGGTGTGCTATGCAGCACAAGGTTGGCGGTTCGAATCCCGGCTGCTCCCTATGCCAAGTTGAAGTGTCCCTGAGCAAGACCCCTAACCCCCAATTACTCCACATAAAATGATGTCAAACCATGGGCGTTATGGATAAAAGTGACAGCTACATGTATAGTAATGTCCTGTAAGTCAAAGTCATCATCGTATCTCATGAGATACTATCTCATCATGATGACTTACAGGACCTGTTTTTCAGTGGCTGACATGGGCTTCCATACATTAACCTACAACAGATGTAGATGGATTGTGATTCACTGCACTTGTATGTGTATTTCCACCACTTCATAAAATATATGTAACATGCAGTTGAAATACGGTAGTCTGCTATTATTGTAAATTGACAGCTTTAACTGTTTATTCTTGACAATGGCCGTTAATTTACAAGCAAGGGGTGGAAATTTAACTGTATGTTAGTTATTATAACATACTGTAAGATGCCGTTAGAAATGCACCGTAGATTTACACCAATCTGTTACAGTGTACATAACAACTATTATGAACTGAGCCGTCTGCACCCTGATGGTTTGGTAATAACACAGAAAGCGCTCCGTACTCCATGTGTACTTCTAAGCATCAAGTTTGTGTCCTACGACAATAAAAAGCCTAAATAGAAAAGTCTTACAATATAACACCGTAATCATCTTTTTTGAGACGACTGACTGTTTTACTCCAAAGCACTGTGTGTTATCGGGAGGCATGTGCTTCACGTAAAAGCATTAAAAACATCCAAACGTCAAGCAACGAGATTTAAACACAGTTAAGAACATTGAAACATAAAAGAAAAACAGTCGTAAAAAAAAACCCTACTAAACCCCCCAATGGTGAATTAAGGGCAGCAGCAAACATAGAAGTCTTTAATCTGGGTTTAAAGGAGCCGAGGGACTCAGCAGACCTGCAGCTTGCTGGGAGTTTGTTCCAGATATGTGGAGCATTAAAAATGAACGCTGCTTCTCCGTGTTTAGTTCCGACTCTGGGAACAGAAAGTAGACCCGTCCCAGACAACCTGCGGGTTCGTTTTAGCTTCATAAAGTATCAGCAGATCACAAATGTCCTCTGGCCCTGAACCATTCACTGCTTTATACACCAAGAGCAGGATTCTGAAGTCAATTGTCGAGGCTGATTCTGTATCTGTCTTGATACGGCTGTTATGGTCTGAATCCTTTATTACGCTTAGATTTCTGACTTGGTTCGTGGTTTTTAACATCCGTGATTGAAGCTGAGCGCTGACGTTCATCCTTGTTTCCAAAAACAATTACATCTTTATTTAATTGGAGAGAGTTTTGGCACATCCTGTTGTTGACTTGTTCAATGTACTTTCACAGCCCTTGTATTGGATTGTATCGTACTGGTGTTGATGCTCCAGACACGTTTTTACCTCAGATTCTCTTTCTGAAAATGAAATTCTTGTACCTCAGTTGCAGCACAGTTAATGTTGCCAAACTACACACAAGAGTTGTTTTTTCACTCGAGCAAACGTCAACTTTGTTGATTATTCTCTCTACTGGGTTGGAGAGTTTTGAATTATTAATTGCAGTAATTCAAGCACTAATTGGAAAACGACGCTGTTATCCTTCAAGCTGGACGTGTTCCCGCTGCGTGATAAGAAGCAGACGTTCTGAACTCCACAGTGCTGCCGTCAGGCCTAATTGACAGAACATAGAGTAGCTCCTTTTGCAGTGTCCTGTCCCCCCTCACTCGATCTGACAGAGGCCAGACCCGTTTGTGTGAGAGGGGTCGACAAGAAGAGCCAATCGACATCGCCCTGCAATTACAGTAGAAATGTCTCATGTCAGAAGCTAACTGGATAAATGACGTGGAGGCTTTAGAAAGAGGCTCCCGCTGAAAGCGTGGCCAGACGGGCGTAGCCTCGACCACGCGGGCGGCCCCGCGGCCTTCTGGGAAGGCGAGGGGAAGAATCCCGCCGCGCTTTCTCGAAGCCTCCTGACACTGTTGTCTCCCTGAAGCGACAGCTGCGAGCGGTTTGCGTCTGCACTTCCTCTCTCTCTCTCTCTCCTGGCCTCCTCCTCACCCCTCAGTGCTCCCCTTCAGTCTCCTCCGTAGGAACACACACATGCACGCACATAAAATACCATTGCGACTGACCTCCCTATATCTCCGTCTGCTGATCCAGACAACCGGTCATTTCAAGCAGACGTGCATAATTGTAGAGCTATTAAAGTGTAAGCGTAGATTTGTTGTGTTCGCTCTGTTTCTCCTCCCCCGTGACTATTTGTAATTCCTCTGTTTTTCCTGCGCATAGTTCCCCACCACGCGCCGTATAGAGAGGGCATTGGCTTCCCTAAAACCTTTGTGTAGAATTGAGTGTCGACGACTGTCGCATGTAGGCTTTATGCGTCTGTACGACTGCGTTTGCATCTACTTGACACGTCTGCATACTTGTTCTGCATTTTCTGTTCTCTACGTGGCCGCTGACCTCCAGCCGGCCTTGTAGCGGTTTGGCCACCGCCTGTTTTGGTCCGTGTTTAGTCTAGACGGACATCCTGACCCGATCTGCATGACACCCAGACAACAGGGGGCAGATAGTGGCATCTCTCGTGTCTGCAGGCAACTTTTTTCTTTCCTTTTCCTACCAATCTCCTCCAATTCCTCCAATCTCCTCCTTCTTCCTCGCTCTCAAATTCCGCAGACTCTGGTTGAGACAAAGAGTTTCCAGACTTTGGCAGACGTTCATGTCCATGCTAAGACTGGGCAGAATAGTTCGGGCTTTGTACTGAAATTTGTCAAACGTTTGACCTCCTGCATTTGAACTGAAGCCGGCTGTGTAGCGATGCTCGGTGAGATTTTTACAGCCCGTGGCTGCTCCACGAACCAGACCATCTGCTCCAGACCACAGCCGAGCTGAGGTCTGCAGACGGAAGAATGAGGGCCGGATAATGAGGGAGAGAGGAATCGACTGAGTGATGTAAATGATACAGGGCATTTGGGCTTGTCCGGGAAGGTAAAGAAATACCTCCCGAAACATGCTCGCTTGCATGCAAATGTCTTGACACTGATGAATCCTTTTCGTCTGCTGCTCTTTCTCTCATCCTAATTCTCATTTCCTGTGTGTCCTGTGGTGTCGTCTCTTCTTTCCCTCTACGCTCCACCTCCTTCCGTCCTCTTTCTCTCCACAGACCAGAGACTGGACTTGAACAAGCTGAGTCCCAATGACAGTGACACAGTCAGAGGCCAGATAGTGGGTGAGTACCGGCGGGCGCGCCCGACCGAGGAGGCCTTTTCGGTCATCCTTTATGCTCTGACAGAGCTTGTATTGCTCATGGAGCCCCTGGTGTGCATCCACGTTCTAACAACGAGTCCTAACAGCAGGAAAAGATGAAAATGCAACTTTTAAACCTTCTTTTCTTCCCTTTAACCAGACCCTCCAGGATAGCTCTGATAAAAATGTAGCCCCATTGGTGTTACTCATAAAGATCTATAGCTCCGTTATGTGCTCTGATGAAAGGTGAGCGCCTGCACTGTGATCTGCTGTCTAGTAATGCCGTGTGTGCATCTGTCCGCCATGTGTTGCTGCAGTGAGCCTGCAGTCCAGGGACCGGATAGGCTCCGGAGGCCCTGTGGTCGACTGCAGTCGGCTGTTTGACAACGATCTCCCCGATGGGTGAGCAGGATTTGGGGAGAGATTTTTTTCTTTTCTTTTCTTTTCTGAGAGACGGTTGCAATTCGTAAACAATGAACGCTGCCTTCGGGTGCATACGGAATGTGATATTTGGGGATGCGTGTGGTGGGGTGGGGCACCGGGACAGAGCGCTGCTCCGAGGTTCTGTGGCTGCTTAACCGTGTCTGTTCCCCGCTGGCAGCTGGGAGGAGAGGAGGACGGCGTCCGGGCGGATCCAGTACTTGAACCACATCACACGCACCACACAGTGGGAGAGGCCTACCAGGTGAGTACACTGTGCTGCCCGCAGACACTCTACCCCAAACAGGCCCCGACACCAGACCGCATCTCTGACCCCCAGTGCTCCCAAACTGGATTCGGCTCCTCAAAAAAAAAAAGGTGGCAGACAGACTGCTGCAGACAGTGTTTAATGATGTGGACGAGCCGGAAATAAAGGCATCTCTTCCCCCACTCTGTCTGTGCCGCTCGTATTTAGCTTCCTTTTATCGCTTCTTCCCAAGCTTGACCTCAGGGCATTCTTAGTGCTTTTGTATTTGATGGTCTGTGCTGCCCTGAATGGATTTTCCAGTTAGCGCCTAAAGACTTCTTAAATGCTTCCCATTGATTTGCTGCCTTATGTTTATAGAGATGACTTTTTCTTTTTAAATCCTATTGTAAAAAAAGTAGTTTTTTCTCCTTAAAGCCTGCACACACCAGGCTCCTGACGACCTGACGAATACTTGCATGTACATCTTTCGCAATAAAACTATTACTACTACTACGACTACTACAGGGCAGCATGTATGCAAAATTTGCAGCAGTTGTAGTGTTTTTTTCAATAAAAGGTTTAAATAAATTCAGCCAGCCAGAGGTCCAAATGCCAGGATCCTATTGACCCAGAGCAGCATCTGGCAGTCTGTCAGAGGACAGTTTTTGTACAGCCAGAGTTACTGTCAGCTGTTTTAGTGAGTTTAGTGAGTGGATTTCCGTCTGGTGAAAGCTTGTCTAAAGCTTGTGTTGTAAGAAAAGAAGTGTATCTAGTAAGTTCTGCCTTTATCAATGTTGGAAGGAGTAACTTAGTGCTGTGACCCTCTGGGATGTTGTCCATGTATTTGTTGATGCCTTTTGTTCACATAAAGCTCAGAAGAGCTCGTATATAGTGACGTGCAAATGAATCACATAAACAGAACCCGCGGTGTAAAGGTACCACTACCTCACCTCGTCTTCCGTTCCCTCTCGCCCCTCTCAGGCCGGCGTCAGAGTACTCTAGCCCCGGCCGGCCGCTCAGCTGCATCGTGGACGAGAACACGCCCGTCAGCACCAACGGGGCCACGCCCACCGCAGTACCGCCGCCCATCAACGGTGAGCAGCGGGTCCCAGAGAGACGGGTCCGCTCCCAGAGACACCGCAACTACATGAGCAGAACCCACCTGCACACGCCCCCGGACCTGCCGGAGGGATATGGTGAGTGGAAAGCCAGCATTATACATCATGAACGTTCATCCTCTTCATCTGACGATGTATTTATTTGTTATTGCTTCTGCCCGCACTAGAGAAGGCGTTGTGTCCTCTATGAAAGACTGCAGCCGTGAATCAAGTCATTGTTGTGATGCCGCTGACACTGGGCTCAGTAAACCAGCTAATCTGTACCCTCATTCAGTCCAGCGCTGCTGCGATGACGCTGCAGATCCTCACAAGGAGCCGGAAATACTGGCTCCACTTTAGACAATCTAATTGAATTGATCTGGCTGTTAAAGGCTGGCGGCAGCCATTCGCTTCCCCCGCCCCCACCCACCCATTCTGTCTGTTCTCCTGTCTGCACACAGTCCAACAATCAGACGCATTCATGTCAAAGCAAACAGACACACGCGCACAAGCTGCGGTTCTACGCACACCATCCCCAGGGAGTTGTGTTTATCCTCGCTGTGAAATCTGCTGTCGGATTTTGAGCCGGAGCCAGCGAGGCATATCTCTGCTCTCAGCCGCCCAGATTAGGGGGCTCCTAGCCGCTCTAAACTTGTCTGTCTCTCTCTCTCTGTCACTGTCTGTCTCTCCGTCTCTGTCCTCTGCTTTTCTTCATCGTCGGGCAGCTCGCTGCCAAAACCCGTCAGCGCCGCTGGTTCTCCTCATGTTAGGGAGGACGCCAGCCGAGAGATGTCGCCTCCGTGTGTCGAACATCCATCGTGCTCTCCGCTGGGGCTGCCCTGGGTTTGGGTCTGGAGGGCTTGTGTGTACATGCATGTTAAAGCGGGGCGGTGGGTCCAGAGGGACGCCAAAAGGAGCTCTTTGGCAGGCCGTCTCTCGGAAATATCTCTGTCAGGCGCTGAGGAATGAGCTCACCAACTCGAAAGTCTCTTCTCTCCTTCCCATGTTCTTCACCCTGCCGCTCCCCTCCTCCTCCTCCACCTCCCTCCCCCTCGGCTGCCCCTCCCCAGGCTGCCTCTCGGGATCTCTCCTCACAGACCGTCTCCAATCTCCATCTGCGTGATCTCCCATAAACACAATCCGTCTGCATGTGGCACGTGAATTAAACGTGAAAAATGTGACACAGAGGTTTAGGCAACAATGTTGTAATGTCCCATGATTGTATAACCAAATATTTACAGATCACTTGTTATGTCCCCGCTACAGAGCAGAGGACCACGCAGCAAGGCCAAGTGTACTTCCTCCACACTCAGACGGGTGTCAGCACGTGGCATGACCCCAGAGTGCCACGGTATGTCCAGCGCTCGGCCGACGTCTGCGTTGTGTTGCTTTGCTCCTTTCCCAGTCCACCGTACAAACTGTAAAATACATAAAACAACATTTTATAATAAAATGCACACATAAGAAATTGGACTGTCCACAGACGCTTAGTCCGGTTTTTGGTTTCCAGTCCCCTTGTAGTTTGCCGTAAACCTGCAACTGGTTTTGCGTCAACGGGGCTCAGAGCGACTCGCTCCTCCCCTCGGGCGCTCAGCGGCTTCGCTCTGGCACACTTGGCCAACGGCACACGGGTCTCAATCAGCAACACCGAAGGCCCGCGCGCAATCCCAAGTCAGGCATGCGTGTCCTATTTGCTGCCGCATTCCAAAGAAAACGCTCGCGCCCGCAAATGGACGTGTGCTTTACTGCATTCCAGGCGCTATCAATAAAACACGACTGATATCATAATACCTGGCCGCCGCTCGCATTCTAGAGACGATGTTTTCATTGCCCTTGATAGGAAGCCCTTCGTCACGCCACACCTCACCCGGTGCTCCTCGGACAGCTGCAACATTAGCAGGCGGCTTAGCTGCCGAGCTCTCATCGCTTCTCGAGGCTCTGGTCCCTTTTGGCTCGGACCCCCTGAAAGAGAGCAGCGAGCGCCAGCATCGCGGGCCCTGCTGTCATTTCTGGGCCTCAGTGTCTCCGCGGAGTCCAGCTGAAAGGGGTTGCAGGGCAGCAGTAAATAATCTAGATGGGAGTAGGAAGAAAAACAGAATAAAAGTGACTTTCTCAGACATCTCGGAATCCTGAGTCCAGTTAGTCAGTGCTTTTGGTATGGTTTCTACCTAAAATTTCATGTGTGTGCTTTGTCTCTTTCAAGCCGTCCCACCCTACGCTGCCTCTATTTTTCATGTATTTATGCTTTAATTGTGTTTGTTGCATTTCAGAGATCTGAGTAATGTGAACTGTGAGGAACTGGGTCCTCTGCCTCCTGGGTGGGAGATACGGAACACTGCCACCGGGAGGGTCTACTTTGTCGACCACAACAACCGAACCACGCAGTTCACAGACCCGCGCCTCTCCGCCAACCTGCATCTAGTCCTAAAGTGAGTTCTACCGCACCGCTAAACAAGTTCATCCTAAAAGACGAGTGTGTGAAAGCAGAGGAATTTATTTTCTGTCTCTGTTTTGCATCCGTAGTCCAAGTCCAAGCCCCAACGGTTCTCGCGGGGGGATCGAAAATCAGAATGTCAGGTAAGGGCGCGGGCCTCACGCCAGCAGACTGGAACACACACACAAGCACGTCCACAGGCTTCCTCCCTTTGCCTCCCGTCTCTGTTGTTGTTTAACAGCGGCATCCTGTGCCAAGGTGTGCTGACCACCTGTAAGGGTTCAGAGGAGCCAACGCACACAGAAATACACACACACGCAGTGAACTCCCCCACAGCCCTTTTTTTCCCACACACAAGTTCTAAGTCCTCAGCCCCTGAGAGGTTTTGATCATAAAGACGTTTTAGCACACAATCCGTCACAAAGCCGGCCTTGGCCAGACATCAGAAAGCTGAGTGGAAACCGAGCCGGCCGAGTCTGTGGCCGGGGAGCGTCCTACCTCCAGGAAACGCCGCATAAATTCGATGCCCAAGTCAATGAATGAGCTTTGTATGCGCGTATGTGTGTGTGTGTGTGTGCGTGTGGGTTCATGTGTTTCAGGTCATGCTGCCGTGCTTGGTACATGCCTGGGTTCACAGAGGCACATGTTCAGGGTCCGATCCCCCGTGCAGCTGTTCAAACACACAGTGTGCGGCGATAGCCGTAGAATTACCCATCGGCCGCTGCCCCACAAAGGTGGAGCTGTGTGCTGGTGCCTTGGTGGGCCTCCTCCGCCTGACCTCATTCCTCCTCCGTGCAGAGAGGGACGGAATGCATCGACAAGGAGATCGGGTTTCCTCCCCCCCCACCCACCCCTCCTCCTGTTCTGATGGATCAAAGAACGTGTTAGGGATTGTTGCATTCATCCGCAGCCCTCTGAAAAGTCTTATAAAAACGTAGCCTGGCACGCCACAATCGTTTTTAATTAAGGAATTTTGTCCAATAGCACAACTTTGCCCAGATGTTTGAAAATTTCTATTACAGATTAGTTCGTTCCGTGCTTTGTTTGCATTGAAGATATCCGCCCTAAGGTGTTACATTTGGACTGTAGAGCGCCGCACGTCTCCCGCTTATCCGAGAACGCCTTGGCCTGAGATTTGTGACGAGTAAGGTTTGTCCTTAGTCTTCCTCAATCCACTTTCATTACATTGACCCTGTAACAGAGGATAGAGCTGCCTTACCGCTAATATGATAGATATTGGAGTGACTTTCTGTCTCGTGACAAAACTCTGGAAAAGATATCAGCCATCATGGATTTCCATCAAGACATCTGCCTTTTATCAAGTCTGGGACTTTAGACATTTTCACCAGTCGTGTGCCGTCATCCCGCAAAAATGTGATATATATGTCCCTCAAAGTTTTAGTTTATGGCTTTTTTATATGCTAAAAACCCTGCCTTGGCACCCAGGCCAGGTTCTCTTTATATATTCCCCCTGAATTTTAGCTGACTGATCAAGGTCCCTTTTCAATGAGTAACTAAATCCTTGTCTGCTTTTAAAATGCGGCTGCAAGTCCGCCCCCCCACCAAACTGTTGCATGAGAGATAATGGCGTCATGTCCCAGACGTTTGTGAGTTGTTGCTAAGCGACTCTTCCCAGCGGTGAGCGTAACATGCACCAGAGTCGTGCTCGTCACTCAGGACTCGGGAAGAGAAGACAACGCTCCGGAGCGCCAGAGAAAGAGCAGCAAAGCTGGAGCAGGAATCTTTTGATTTGTAGGTGAAAGTGCAGGGAGAGATGCTCCGTGCCTCCTCCGTCCTCTCCGTCTCTCCCACCCTCTGAGTTGTCTGCCGTGTTTCGGTGCGGTCGGGTGAGTCCCCGCCTCCCCATCACCCTCCCGCTGAGTCTAGTCTGCAGGAAATAAAGGGATGCGAGAGGAGGTCTCGAGTGTCCCGTGGGGCCCTGGTGAATTTCTGGGATGGCAGGAAGCGATTGAAAAAGCCCACGCTGGATTCTGCTGGGCAGACGCCAGAAACCACACTGCTCATTGTGGCAGAGGAGGATGTGAGGCATCGGGAGGACGGAGTGTGTTCGGTCGTGAAGTGAGCCGACCTAGAGAACAGAAGAGGTGGTTACGGTTCCCGCTGTGTTTGTTTTTGCTCGATTTTATTTTAACCTCGGTACCACTTTAGAGCGTTACGGCCTGCACATCCGAAGCATGTGTACGGCTCCCACTCGCCTCTGGAGTTTCCTGTTTATGACCCCCCCACCGGAGTGCAAAAGGCCACTGTGCAAGTAATGCTTTAGTGCCGACCCCATAAAGGCCCTTTTGATGCTCCGTGTGTGTTGGGCGCCTCCGAAACACAGCAGGCAGCAAAGAAAGGCGTATTCTTCATCCAATGGCAGAGAGACGGAGACCCCTCTCCTCTATAACAGCAGACGATGTTCACAGCCACACTGCTGATACTGTGATGAGTGAATGCGTCTTTCTTTCTTTCGTTTTACGCACTTATTCACTTCAATTTTCCAAAGAGTTTCTAATGAAGTGCATTCAAAATATACAGAGCAGAAACGACTGAAGAACAAGAACAAAAATCATTAAAACCCCAGCGTACACCAGCTGCTCATCAGCAAACAGCACACCGACACAGTTTGGGACCAGGTGGAGACAACGCTGGCGGAGACCCATAAAGCCAGAAGAGAGATAACATTGGACCCTCGTCCATCAACCATGAATGTTCATCTTACACAGCAATTGAGGAAAACAAAAAGCAAAACAACTATTTGCAAAACAAATTCTCCATTTTTCAACCTTCAATGTTTATGTCGGTTGTGTTTTCACAACTTGTTTCTGCCGCCCCCGAGTGTCCAAAGAGAATCCCGCCAGATTGAACTGGTCAATTGCGTGAATTCCACTGCAGTCATATGCAAAGATGACGGCGAGTTTCCACTGTGATGGAAGTATGTAAAATACGGCAGAGTGATGTGGAAAAACCAATGCATAATATTTCTTTCTACAGTTAAACAGGTTTAAATCAGATTCTTGTTTCTAATTTGTGGTTGAAACTGCAGCTTCTCTCTATCACAGTGCCTGCACTGTTCTCGCTCTCCGTCTCTAAAGACAAAAACTTTTGGACTTGGACAGTGTGCCTCCCCGAGGTCGCCTCGATGACCCTTCATTACCTCAAGTGTACACAATGAGTCCGGCAACACAGGATCTATTTGCAGAGAGTTATTTCCCTCAGTTCTCTTTTGCTGCTCCCCTGTGAGGAAAGACAAACCTTTTTGTATAGCACAGTTCAACAACATAAAACCATTAAAAACATCATGCAAAAGAAAAGGAAATTTAAAAGCAATTAAGTAAGAACAGACAATAAAACAGCAAACAAAAATGCCGCCGAGGGACTCTGCCGACCTGGGAGTTTGTCCAGATATGTGGAGCATTAAAATGAACGCTGCTTCTGCGTGTTTAGTTCTGACTCTGGGAACAGAAAGTAGACTCGTCCAAGACGACTTACAGGTTTTTAACGGGTCATAAGCAGATCAGAAATCAGTACTTTGGCCCTGAACCATTCAGCAGGATCGAAGTTGATTGATTGTTGGACAGGAAGCCAGTGTAAAGACCTGAGAACTCACCATTGCAGTAGTCAAGTCTACTGAAGATCATCGTTTAAGTTTATCTAAATACAGTTGAGACCAATGTCCTTAAATACTTAATATATATATATATATATATTTTTTTTACATGCGATAGAGATTGAGGTCTGAATCCATAACCACCACCACCTATATTTGTGGCCTGGTTTGTGGTTTTTAACATCAGTGATGAAGAGAATCTGTTTTATCTTTGTTTAATAGGAGAGAATTCTGTTCCAGTTGTTTATTTGTTCAATGCATTTACTCAGCACTTGGTTTTATAGTCCTGGCTGTGTAGATGTGTGTGTCGTCTGCGTAATTACGATAGCATACTTTTTTTGTGCAAGCACTTTCTTTCTTTTCTCCCTGGTAAGCTTGTTTTTGTTTATTATTGGCACAAATTAACAGTTGCATCCTGTCTCTCTCTCTCTCTTTTTTCTTTCCCATGCTGCTCTATTCTGCCTCTCGCTTTCTCCGCCAGTCGTCAGAACCAGGTGAAGGATCAGGCCCAGCAGGCTCTGGTGTCCCCCGGTCATCTTCCAGAGGAGGCCGAGTGCCTCACAGTGCCCAAGTACAAGAGGGACCTTGTTCAGAAGCTCAAGATCCTCCGCCAGGAACTGTCCCAGCAGCAGCCTCAGGCGGGCCACTGCCGCATCGAGGTGTCCCGCGAGGAGATCTTTGAGGTGAGGATATGAAAGAAATGGGCTCGGTCATGTCGCCATTTCCTCTGCACGTCAACGGGGGGGGGGGGGTATTAAATGGACAGATACTTTAAACCAAATGGAAATTCAGTCGTCACAGCCAGAGCGTGCATGAAAGTAATTGTATATCAAATGCGTTAACAAAACGGTAGAATATGGTTATTATCTAACATTTGCTCCATTGCACTTTTAATTGTGAAAAGTTATTTATTGACGCGCCCAGGTTATGTTCAAACCTTCTTCTTTTTTTGTCCACTCCCTTAAAGTCCATTGCCTGTATATAATAGTTTGGCTGTGAGGATGATTTCTCTCTCACACAGTTATCTATGACGTGTGGTAGTCTGGTCAAAACCCAAAGCAGACCACCCTTTTTCTACAAACCACATTCTCTCCGCTGGAGCAGCAACACCTGCAACGGACTGCGTGACCCTCATGAAATATGCACTGGAATGTGCTGGAACAGACATGTCCGTTAATCTCAGCAAAGACATTTTTGTTGGCTGATCCCAATGAGAGAGAGAGATGGAGCGAGAGAGAGAAAGAGGTGTTTTGGAGGAGATGGGGGGGGGATTGAGGGGTTGAGGTTAAGCAAGACATAACTGCACAGCGTCTCCAGACCAGCTGAAGCATTACCTCATGGCTGAACAGGCGTGTGTGAGCTGGTGGACCGTCTGACTCGTCCCACTGTGTACTTTTCCGTGGAGATAAGACATTCCCGTTTTCTCCCACTGCACCTCGCCGCGTCTGTCGAGCGAGGCGGAACCTGGCTGTGTTATCACAGCCTTATGGATGGGTGGTTATAACTGCCCCTAATTCACTTTTAATGAACCCCACCCCCGACACTGAGCTGTCTGCACGTGGGATGGACACTGATGGAGGCGGAGAGATCTCGGCGTCAGAAAACCAATTGGAGACGACTTCTCTGAGACGCCTCATTGCACCAGTCTCATTTCTGTCAAAACTGCTGCAGCAGAGCAACTGTTTTATTTACCTTCCAACTTTATTTTGAATAGCTTCTAACTTCTAGTCAACAGTGTGCCTATCCCTGTAACTAGTACCATTTCCCCAGAGCCAGGACCCCTCCCGTGTAAGCTAATAAAGATGGCTTCCCTTTGAGTTATTCTCCGTTGAGGGGCCACGCTGCAGCACCACAGCAGCACGAGTCCGGTGAACAGCCTTGTTGACGAGGCGCTTTGTTTTGCGTCCGCTCTGCAGGAGTCGTATCGCCAGGTGATGAAGATGAGGCCGAAGGACCTGTGGAAAAGGCTCATGGTGAAGTTCAGAGGGGAGGAGGGGCTCGATTACGGAGGAGTGGCCAGGTAAGAGGCCAGAGCAAAGGAAGAGCACCTAACATCAAACACACTGAGTCTGTAACCACCGGCCCTTTGCTCATGGCGGTCTGCCCCCTAGTGGAGGAAGAGAAAACCACATCTCTCCCCCCATTGCTTTTTTTTCTGTTTCAGTATTATAAGCATGTTGTAGACACCCCAGGTTGCATCCTCTGTATCCTGCAGTGTTGTTTCTCCCCTTGCCCCCCCCTGCCTGACCTCTGTGTGCTGTGCTGCGTGCAGGGAGTGGCTCTATCTACTGTCGCACGAGATGCTGAACCCGTACTACGGCCTGTTCCAGTACTCCCGCGACGACATCTACACGCTGCAGATAAACCCAGACTCCGCCGTCAACCCCGTGAGTGGCAGCCACCCCTGAGACCTTCGCTTGCAACACTGATTGCTTAGTTCATTTCATCTCATCCGTGCTTGTCCGCGTAACGGACACGCCCTCGAGTCGACGGACGTGGATCTCGTGGACAGAATAATACGTGGGCGATGCATCTGTTGTGTTGGGACTGAGCTGCTGGCTTGTTCACCGCTTGTACGGTGTCGGGACGGTCGGCCAGTCAAAGCGGAATCTCAAGCGTTCTTTAAACAGTCCGTTTCCTTCGGTGACTCACCGCTGTCTGCTTCATTTGGAAACCAAAGATGTTTTGTCTACCTGCAGGAGCACTTGTCCTACTTTCACTTTGTTGGCCGTATCATGGGGATGGCGGTGTTCCACGGCCACTACATCGACGGAGGCTTTACTCTTCCCTTCTACAAACAGCTGCTGGGTAAACCCATCACTTTGGACGACATGGAGTCCGTTGACCCTGACCTCCACAACAGCCTCGTGTGGATCCTGTACGTACGACACATGTTTTATTCAATAGCAGCATTGATTTCTCTGTGTGGGGGGAAAAAAGCTGTGCTCTGCATCCCCGTCCACATGTGATATGTGTACAGCACAGAAGTCTTCCCTCTTTTACTGTGCACCAACTGATGATGCTGTTACCCACTGGAAAACCTCCCTCCTGCTCTTGGGTAACAGCGCCCCCCAGGGCCTGAGAATATTCCTTTCATCAGTGCTTCCTGAGCACATGTTGTCAGACCACGTGTAGCCGTGTGGCTTTAATTCCATTATGTTAAAGGGACAACTCAACCCCAAACTCACACATGCATATGTTAAACTGTTACCCGTGTTGCATTAATCAACCTACATTGTTTTGGTGAGAGCTGCTGAGTTTTGGAGATTCACTCCAACATTTTGGACTAACAGGTTCATTAATTAACACCGACAATTATTCTATTGCGCGTAATGCTGTTTTTAATTTTTTTTTTAATTTTGAAAGCCTCTCGCTCACTGACACATACAGACAAACTATGGGTCACAGAGGGGGGTGCGGGCAGTATTGGCCTGGGAGGGGCGTCATCGCGCTTCTCAGCCAATGAGGGCGCTCGGGGGGCGGGCCTAAAACTGCTGCCGCTCACAGAGAAGTGGCGGGGACAGTAAAATGGAGGAAGGTAGGAAACTAGTTTCATTTTAAATCGCTAAACGGCGCAGTTGATGGAACAAAGGTCATTTGTAACCAGCGACCCTGAGAGTGTGTGAGGTTTTTTGTGAAGAAAATTCTTCAAAAGAAATCCAGAACAAACATGGACTTCAAATACTAAAAGTTCCCCGCACAATAAATCCCATCAGTGTAACACTTGACCATATATTATTGATTGATAGACTATTAATAGAAGTGTTGATGATGCTCCCTCGTGAAATAGACATGTTTATGCCGGTACCTGTCCAGAAAAGGAAAACATATTTGTAAATGTTAACTTGCTTGATATGATGTTACGATCATAGAGGGTAAAACTTTTTCTATAGCAAACTAGATCAAAGATTAATGCAAATAGCTTTCATTTTATATTTTATTTATTACATTTATTAAAAAAAGAAATTGAACTCGAGTTTTACAAGTAATATTGTAACTGCTACTGTGCATAGGGAATACAGCTGTTTAAAAAGCACCGTATTTGTTTGCACAGGTAAGAGAGCACAGTACATACACAATTCATTGGGATCAAAATCTTTAATTGTTGACTAGCACTAAAAAAAATAATTCAAACGGCAAAGTGTCTTTCCATCAATCATGACCGGATTGAACCACGGTTATCGTTGTAGCCATAGCCCGACCCTACGGCATAACCATCTCACCGCACAGAAGGAAGCAGCTTACTGCTCGCCCGCCCAGCACCACCGAGGAAGCTAAAGTTACATGAGACAAAGAAAAAAGATCCTCCATGAAACTCGCTCTGTTGTTTATCATGAGTAGGTGGGTCGTGATTCACGGACACACACTACTATTGCGTTTTATAAAAGTATTCCTTTGCCGCTCTATGCACAGTACTACAAAATCCTGTTATATCGGAGAAGACTAAGATTACGGCCACTCGCACCAAAATAAACTAGACTGATAAATAGCACTACAGGTATGCATTTCTGATTGTTGGGTGAACTATTAATATCACATATTATGTTTTCAACTCGTATTTAACAAAAAGGAGCTCATCTTTCTTTTGTTAGAATAAAGAGCCCTTTGTATTTATTAGTTTTTTTCACCAATAGCGCCTTGTTGTCGTCCTCACACAATCAATCCAATATCTCTCCAGCGACAATGACATCACAGGTGTGCTGGACCACACCTTCTGCGTGGAGCACAACGCCTACGGAGAGATCATCCAGCATGAGCTCAAGCCCAACGGTAAGAGCATCCCCGTCAGCCAGGACACCAAGAAAGAGTACGTGCGGCTCTACGTCAACTGGCGCTTCCTGCGAGGCATCGAGGCCCAATTCCTGGCTCTGCAGAAGGGCTTCAATGAGGTCATCCCCCAACACCTGCTAAAGGCTTTCGATGAGAAGGAGCTCGAGGTAATTTCTTTCATCGCCACGTCTATTTGTTTACACACACACGCGCGTCTAGATCGCGATCACAGTACATCGAGTCCGACTTCTTGTAACGGTTTGTGCGCGGCTTCTGTCCTCGACCCGTAGCTGATCGTATGTGGCCTGGGTAAAATCGACATCCACGACTGGAAGTCCAACACGCGCCTCAAGCACTGCACGGCAGAGAGCAACATCGTCAAATGGTTCTGGAAAGCCGTGGAGTCCTTCGACGAGGAGCGCAGAGCCCGCCTGCTGCAGTTCGTCACCGGCTCCTCCAGAGTTCCCCTGCAGGGCTTCAAGGCGCTCCAAGGTAGGAAGACAACTGTCCACGCACACACAGTCCTCCGCACCTCCCTTCAGTTAAAGGGTACAAAACAAGTGTTAGCGCAGTGTCAGCTGCACTTTGGGATTGTTTTGCTTCCCCGTGTCTCCGTGTTCCTCTGACTCGAGATGAACCCCGAGATGAAAAATAGAATAGACAAACGGTTTCTTCACAGCGATGTGGTCCACTTTTACTAAACCAATCGCCTTCATTTGTGCAGGTGCTGCTGGCCCCCGGCTCTTTACCATCCACCAGATCGATGCCAGCCCCAACAACTTGCCCAAAGCCCACACCTGGTGAGGAAACATTTTCAGACTGTTCACACGGTGGAGTTAATAGCTGGTACACTAGAAACCGCTTGTCTGTCCGGCTCACTTTAAGCAGATATTCTTATATCCATTTTTTTGTTCCTTCTGTTCCTTTCTCCAGCAGGTTATGTATTACCTGAATACAAAATAAACCAGCATCACTGACTTGCATTGATTTTGAATGTACAACTGCTGTCTCAAACATGTTTCAAATGACCACAGGGAATAGTGAATACAGTACAGCATATATATATATATATATATAAAAACACTTACATATGCATCTTACTCTATTCTAGATTAGGATTAGACTACAGCCAGAAACAGCGACTTGGCTCCTGAATCAAAGCTTGTTTCTACATTTAAGACCTGATAATACATGTTGGGCTTTCAATGCTCAACTGGTATTGGAATTCACAAACAAACAGAAGTAAAAAAAAAATTTAAAAAAAGAAAGAATAAGATTTGAATGTATGAAAAGATCCCAAATGAACACTGTCTGCAGACTACCTAGTTTCCTTAAGCAAACTGTTTAAACAGGAATGATTCTGTCCTAATCTTATTGACCCATACTGTGTTATCATATCGTTATGTTTAGAGATATGCAGCGGTGTACTGATTCCAGTCCTCCAACGTGACTTTAAAATCTGTCCCCCTCTTCGCCCCCCCCCAGTTTTAACCGAATTGACATTCCTCCCTACGAGCACTACGACAAACTGTACGACAAGTTGCTCACTGCCATCGAGGAGACGTGCGGCTTCGCTGTAGAGTGAGTCCCCGACGCGCCCAGCAACGACCAGAAGCAACGCAGAAGCTCCGCCCCCCCCCCCCAACACCAACACCACCACCACCACCAACCCCGGAGATCTGACGGGGGTTCTTTCACGGTAGCCTCACCCAGGGTCGCCCCCGGGGACGTGTAGCCGAGCTACGGGGGGGGGGGGACGCGGACCAGACAGTGTCATCGGACTGTTTTCCTTCTAGAGCCTCCAGCTCTCCTCCACGTCTGTTTTTTATTATTGAAAAGGATCTCTTCAGCTGCTAATAACTATTTACTAACCCGTGGAACCTGCAAAGTCGCTGGCTCTTCCCTTTTTTATACCCGAGGTTCACTTAAACACTAAAAAAAATAAAAAATTACAAAAACTAGACTGTACCCCATGTAGCAACGCTCCGTCCCCCCCAAGACGAACACAAGGACGGTCCACTCTGAAACGACATGAGGACACGAGGCCGCTCCGTCCGCCGGAGCGCCGGGTCATCAGGGGCTCCCACGACCACTTGAGAACACTCCACCTGGAATGCGCGTGCTGTCCGCTGCCTCGCCGGGCGCCACCGACGGGAGCACGCCGTTCCCACCGACACGTTTCACGCGTTTGACAGTTGGCTTTGTTTGAAAATGTATGAATACATGAATGAATCGCTTGAAATGTGTTATTTTTATATAACATGGGGGGGGGAAATAAACAATACAATTCTATATAATATATATAATTTATTGCTGTGATATTCCCCGATCCAGTGTTTCAGAAAAAAACAAGTGTTGCCGGTTACATTTTAGAAGACAATTTGTGAAAGCAAAGTATGCGTGACTGATTTCTACACACACACACACACACACTGCAAAGAAAGATGTGTCTTAAAGGGCAAAACGATCTTTGACACACAAAGTCCTTTGAGTGCTTAAATCATTTCAGAATGAAGGAATCTTTTAAATTCTACTGATTTCATTCTGGAGCTGCGCCGATGTTTCCCCTTTTTGTAACACTGTCATTTGTAGCTGGGCTATATTAACGTCACTAGCGTGACACCTCCCACCTTTTTCTAATGGCATTCTGTTTCAGAAGTCCAAAGCTCCATCGTCATCCATTTCATGCCGCCTCCACTTTGTTGTTGAATAAAAGGAAAACCTCTACTACCTTCTAGCCATGTGGTGCTAAACAGCATTAACGCTCGTCTGATATTGGCAACCTCACTCATTGACTTACTACTGCTTAAAGTGCACACTACACTGCTCACTCCTGATTGTGGCCACGAACCACGTTCTCAGGAGACGTCACAATGACCGACGAAGAACGCATTCTGACCATTTGTCTTTCCTGAATGTTAAAGTGTGGTCGTTTTTTCAATAGTTTCGCCCAGCAGCTGACCACAAACATTCGGTAACGGTTGTTTAGGTTGGAAGGGCACCGAATGAGACGACTCACCCCCAACCCAGCCAGAGGGGGATTGTTTTCTACGATAATAATTCTTGAATGTTGCCTCTCCAGCAATCTATCAATCTCCATGACCGTGGACTGTTCTTAAACATTTATCTTTTTTCTTTTCTTCTTTTCTACGTTGACAAGTGCATGCGAGGGAAAGTGTCCTGAGATGGTGCTTTGTACAGTAACAAGATGTGGGTCAGACAACCTGTAATTAATCTCTAACTTAAGTGGGAAAAGAGGAAATGCACACAAGCAGTACGAGTCTGAGCAGACATTCATTGGACCCGGTGAGCCCGCTGACGCTCTACTGTCCGTTTCTACACTTCGCCGCTCAGCATCGCCCCGTAGCTGCCTCTCACGCAACAGCGCGTTACTACGTAAGTGAGTGCAGAGACGCTGCTCTGTTTTTATCGCATGATCCACTAGCAGGACTATATCGCTCATAGCTTACTGATGCAATTTGATGTATGTTAACACTATCATTTTGTAAGAGTATTTTATTTTTGTGTGTAATTAGTTCTAAATAAACTTGCCTTTGTCTAACAATGTGAGGCCTTGTACACGTGTATGTCCTGTGCTTTTTGCCCTCTTTTGTTGTTTCAAATTACATAAAAAGTTGTTTTTCATCTGAATTATTGCTTAGTGCTTAAACAAGTCCTTTGGTCACTTTAGATACATTTGTCTGGTGCCTGTTAGTACTGCGTCGACTGAAAGTAATTATCAATAGGGAGGACAATGGCAATACTCTTTATTTACACCTGATTGTCCCACGTCTCTGACCACCTACTGTGTCCTCATTGATACCACTCTGGATTAAGACATCTGGCCGATGGCTCACAGGAAAGGCAGAGAAAAGGCGTTTCAATGACAAAAGACTATGCTGAGGAAAAAATGGTTGTCAAGTACACTTTCTATTGTTTGTAGCTCTTCAACTGCATCATAATAGATTCTTGGGAATCGTCTGTCTTCTCTGGACAGACGATTTATCTAGACTGGAAGGAAAGAAAGACTTCATCAGGTTAATAATGGTTCATTTATTGAGGGTGCCATTATCACTCCTATATAAGTATGTCGAATATGTAGATACATGTAGCTGTACGAAATCCAAGTTTATGTATTTTTTCTTTACAAATGATTCACACTTTATTAAATATATAGTCATGGTGTAATGCCGAAATCAGTTTGCGAGTAAAGTCCCTCACTTAAAGTGTCGTATTTTGGGTCGACCATTGAGTTCAGAGGCAGCAAGCTTGACTTATGTGAACAAAACGGCTTTCGATTTTTCCCTCAGACACTTGATGTCAGAATACACACCGGAAACCACTTTAATCTAGTCCTACACTTCTTTCAATTCGCCTGTAAACCCATTCAAAAAGAGGTTAATTGAACTTCACCAACACGGGCCCGATTTGGGGGGAAAATGTAAAAAATAAAAAAGTGGGTTTTTTCATGTATGGGTTGGTCCTGATTACGTCACTTACCGTAATAGATCGCCGCGTTGTTCGAGCCGGATTACCGGTTTCTGTCTCGTACATATCCTTCCACTTGATTTCGCCAACACTCGCTGAAAAATGATTCAAAAGGAATAACCACGATACAACATTAAATCCAAAAGAACGTGCAAAACATGCCGATACATCGATTGTGATTTATTTTGGATAGGCTTTACGGTTACATAAATGCTGACGTGATTAAATAATAACTCACATGTGTTTTCTCTCTGTTGTAATTTAATTAAGAATATATCTATGTATGGATATATATAGATATAGATACATATATGTTGGCAATCCGTAATTAGTACTCACAGTAAGAGTTATAGTAAGATTAAAAGTACAGTTTCACCGGTCTGCAATGGGTCTATGTTTCCTCTGGGTAGAAACAGTATGGCGCATGGATACATAGGAAGTGGGACTTCCTCTTGCCATATATACCGGCCCTAATTTCTACCTTACCGGCATTACAGCACCACTGCCGGTCGAGGGTTTTTGTCGGCAGTCAAACCACAGAGAAGAGTATTTATCTTTTTTATTTATATAACTCGTTCGTAAAATGCCAGGATATTCCGACAGAGACCGCGGCAGGGATAGAGATAGAGGGTAAGTACCGCTTGTTTTGTTTTAAAAACGTTTCTTCCTCGTGTGTTTTTTTTTTTTTTTTTTTTTTATAAATGGCTGACAAGAAAAAATAACCGATTGGCGAAATAGTTCTCTATTACGGGAAAAATATGACTGGATATTGTCTGTTTAGTTTCAACCGGCGTCCTACCAATCTGAAAAGCCGTTGGTGTTCGTTAGCGAAACGAGTCGGTTTAACGGGCCCGTTGTCTCTGGCTCAAGGCCTACTTTGGCCTCGTGCCCCCGCGCAGTGGCTGGTCGCTAGCTTCAGGTTAGCATAGCCGCAAGTCGGCCTTCCACTGCCGCGGGTAACTCCCTCCAATACAGAAGATATAATGTACAGCCGACGTATAAACGACAGCCTGCATATTGTGTGTGTGTATATATATATTTCTTTTTATTACGCCGCACACGTGGCTTCAGGGCTACGCGACGTTGCCATAGCCGGCTAGTCGGCTTTTCGCCATGTGGCAGGCGGCATCAATGCGGATACAAAATGCCGGCTTTTTCCATTGTTCCTCTGCTGGTTGGAAAGTATATGGCAGCCGACGTAGTACATTTTAAGAGCGAATGACGCAGTTAGGAGGGACCTCTTTTTGTCAACATATTCGCGTTCTGGTGTTTTCTATAACTCGACTCGATGGTTAATTTAATTGCAGCTATGGTGGTAGTGGCGGACCCCCTCGCTTTGGAGGGAACCGTGGTGGCGGTGGAGGAGGTGGAGGAGGAAAGTTCGGCAATCCCGGCGAACGGCTGCGGAAGAAACAATGGAACCTCGACGAGCTCCCGAAGTTTGAGAAAAACTTCTACCAACAGCATCCAGATGTTGCCCGCAGGTCTCCGGTACGTAACGCTACCCGTCATGGTACATTAAAGCAACTGTTATGTAACATTAACACGGCCGGAAATGTGCTCGCCACGTGTCGGCGTCATACACCACCGAACTCACCCCTTCGTTCTCTTACAGCAAGACGTTGAAAACTATAGAAGGGCCAAAGTAATCACATTTAAGGGGAGAGACTGTCCAAACCCAATTGCCAAATTCCACGAGGCCGCCTTTCCATGTAAGTTGAAAATACCTTTTGAAATGTATGCAAAGGAGGCATGGTGCATCTTGATTAATTATTTCTCTTTCCTTAGCTTATGTGATGGATGTGATCAACAAATTGAACTGGACTGAACCGACACCCATTCAGGCTCAAGGCTGGCCCCTGGCCCTGAGTGGCAAGGACATGGTCGGCATTGCACAGACTGGTTCAGGCAAGACTCTTTCCGTAAGTAAACTTTTGTTCTCTAACAAATGCGTAAATGCGCCATAGATAAGTCTGCCTTTTTTATAGGCTGGCAGTGCATTTATGACCAAATGTAGAAGTGTGATGCTGGCATTGGCGTGTGTTTTTTACAATGGAAACCTACGGCATAGTGTACAACAAACGCACGTTGTTTGAATGTGTTTTTGTCCCTACAGTATTTGCTGCCTGCAATTGTGCACATCAACCACCAGCCTTTCCTGGAACGTGGAGATGGTCCAATCGTAAGTCATCATTATTCAATATCACATTTTATCAAAGTGTAAAATTCCCCCTTCTAAAAAGCACTTTCTTTGTCTGGCCAGTGGCTCGGTGAGTTGTCGAAGAAGGGGATATTACTTCATCACTGTGGGTGAGATGGCAGCGTAACTGTGGCTGACTAATCTCAATCAGTGATGAGACAAACTTGTTAGAACACATTTACATTTCTACATTTGGGTTCAGTTTCTACAATTGAGTAAATAGTTTTGATTGCTGACAACCCATACTAAGTATCCGCCTTAGTTGCTGGAACTGAGTGATTGTAAAGCCTTTTGTGCTGACACGTTTATATTGTCCCCCTCCTGACAGTGCTTAGTGTTGGCGCCAACTCGTGAGCTCGCACAGCAGGTGCAACAGGTGGCTGCAGAATATGGCAGAGCTTCTCGCCTGAAGTCTACCTGTATTTATGGCGGCGCACCCAAGGGACCACAGATTCGTGACCTGGAAAGGGGTATTGTAATTTCCCCCTTTTGTTAATAAATCTTGAAAATGCGTCTGGAGAAATGAGTTCTCATGATTAATATTTGCTTGTAGGTGTGGAGATCTGCATTGCCACTCCAGGAAGGCTCATCGACTTCCTCGAGGCAGGAAAAACAAACCTCCGTCGCTGCACTTACCTCGTGCTGGACGAGGCAGACAGAATGCTTGACATGGGCTTTGAGCCGCAGATCCGGAAAATCGTTGACCAAATCAGGGTACATTTTGTTGTTTACTTTGGTACTTCACATGAATTTGTATCGACGTAAGATTCCCCCTTCTAAAAGCACTTTCTTTGTCTGGCCAGTGGCTCGGTGAGTTGTCGAAGAAGGGGATATTACTTCCTCACTGTGGGTGAGATGGCAGCATAACTGTGGCTGACCAATCTCAATCAGTGATGAGACAAACTCGTGTATATGAAACTATCGGTTTATTTCAGTCCTGAGAATAACCCCCTTTTAGTATGATTGCAACACATTAAGATATCCACCCATTTGCTTGTCAGGATCCTGACTTTTTTGCCTTGTACTGTGAGGGCATGGGTTTTGTAAAATTTAGCTAAACTATTTCAGGGGTTTACTTGGCCTGTAAAGTTTAACTTTAATGCCAGGTTGGATTTGTTACCTGACGGCAATTTCTTTTTTGTAGCCTGACCGCCAGACTCTGATGTGGAGTGCCACTTGGCCCAAAGAGGTGCGTCAGCTGGCAGAGGACTTCCTGAAGGAGTACGTCCAGATCAATGTTGGGGCCCTGCAGCTCAGTGCTAACCACAACATTCTGCAAATTGTGGATGTCTGTAACGACGGCGAGAAAGAGAACAAGTAAGATTTGTTTAATGGCCTCACTAGAAGTAATGGTTCTTCGCTTCAGAATTTACCATAGACTGTGATTAACTTTAATTTTTTTGTTTCAGACTCATCCGTCTGCTTGAGGAAATAATGAGTGAGAAGGAGAACAAGACCATCATCTTTGTGGAGACAAAGAGGCGCTGTGATGATCTCACCAGGAGGATGAGAAGGGATGGGTAAGTGTTGCCATTAAAAATTTACTCCCCGCATGGCTGTCTTGTGCTGCCCTTACAGAAAAGTTGTCTGTTAAACTGACATGAACCTTTAATTCTTTTAGGTGGCCCGCTATGGGAATCCACGGGGATAAAAGCCAACAGGAAAGAGACTGGGTTCTCAACGGTAAGCCTGGATCACCAGTAGATCCAGTGAGTAAAGTGTTGTATAACTTGTCTGGAAAACAAAATTATAATGTCCCTTTTTTTCCTTCTAGAGTTCAAATATGGAAAAGCTCCGATACTCATTGCTACAGATGTTGCCTCCAGAGGTCTAGGTCAGTATCCTCCCTGAACAGTCTTCTACTGTATTTCAAAAAGAAAGTGCATTTGCTTTCTTTAACTCTTCTGCTTCTTTCTGAGTTTCTCCCCTGACCTGAAGGCGCAGTCTGTATGGCAAGGCCTTGGCATGACAAGCCCAGGTCCCCAGAGGGGGAAGGAGGATTCTTGGAGGTGTCCTCACTGGCGAGGCGCGGGTCTCCCAGTTGTGCAGACATACAGAGGTGACCGGGCCCAGTGCAGCATAACGCGCTGGCCTGCCTAAAAAAGGGGGGGCGAGTTGAGGGCTGGCCACAGTTCCTCCCCCGCACATTCGTCTGTTCTCTGGCAATGGTTTTGACTGCTTCACACACACCCAGGCTCTGTAACTGTCCCAGCTCAAAGCCCAGCTACACTGTCTCCTATTGTCTTGCACGTATGTCTGCAAGCTATTTGAGCCATTTGGAAGGTGCTTTCTGTTGTGTTGACTCGTTGTAAAGCATGGGTGACGTTGCAGTTTCTAAACTTCTGTCTGAGGAGCAGTCTGTCAGATCGATCATACCTTCACCTCTGTAATGACATGGCTACTGGCGCTTTTGGTGACAGTGGGACATGCTAGTTGGACACACGGACAAAATCCAAGCTCACACTCCTCCCTCGCCTGCGTTTCAAAGTCATGTCGAGACCTGCCAACGAGAGACATTATGGTCAAGTGAACACTGGGTCTGGAGAACTCTTGCCGTGGGATGTACTCTTTGTGGGCATCCTGCAAATAGTTTCAGATCGACAGTTTTTTCTTTTTCCCCCACAAGAGACACTGTGCTTTATAGCGCGCATCTCGAGACTGTGACAAAGGGACGTTTACATACTAGTTCAAGCACACTAGGAGGCAGTAGTGTGCAGCCGTACTATATAGCGGCACCTGTCGGTCATTTGACAAAATGTGGGGCGTGTGCTGCAATGGGAATGGACTAGTGAATGCATACTCCAGAAAATGGTAAGACTTCTGATCCCATCTTTCTGAGGGTTGAAGAGAGGCGGGCCTTATTTTATCCCACTGGATTGGAAGCCAATGGAGTGTGCATTGTTCTCTTTTCCCACCGTAGTCTCCCCGGGGAGTAAATGTCTGCCTCTAGTTTTGACCAATGCTAGTATTTGTGGATTTTTTTCCAACCGTTCGTACCTCATGACCGCACTAACATGGCCTTTTTGTTTTTGATCTGGTTGTTGTGGTGGCGCTGGCGCACGTCTATGTGTGCTGTCCTCCTTTTCCTTTATGCCACACCGCAACACAATCTTTCAGATGTTGAAGATGTGAAATTTGTCATCAACTTTGACTACCCGAACAACTCTGAGGACTATATCCACCGCATTGGCCGAACAGCTCGTAGCCAAAAGACAGGCACAGCTTACACCTTCTTCACTCCGAACAACATGAGGCAGGCCAGCGACCTCATCTCTGTGCTCCGCGAGGCCAACCAGGCGATCAACCCCAAGCTCCTCCAAATGGCGGAAGACAGAGGAGGTAAATCTAATTGGTGAGATACAGAAACTGTGCTGTGAATTGCAGCCACACTCCTCTGCTGCTGTCCTTCTGTCTGTCCTGAGAAGTTGCTTGAATTTACCATTATGAACTTCTGTATCTCAAAACTTTCTTTGCTTCTGCTTTCATTAACAAAAATATATGCAAACCAATTGCTGCTTTTATTTTATTTTTTAAATGTGTTCTTTTTTTCTTCCCCATTTTTCAGGTCGTTCAAGGGGAGGCAGAGGTGGTGATTATAGAGATGACCGTCGGGATAGGTATTCTGGACGGCGTGACTTTGGCGGTTTTAGGGATCGGGATAATGGCAGAGGGTTTGACAACGGACCAAATAAAGCCTTTGGCACAAATACGCAGAACGGAGGCTATGGGGCCAGCAGCACTAGCAGTGGAAACGGCTTCAGTGGAGGCAGCTACAATGGTAATGGACAGTCCACCTTTAATGCCCCGGCTGCAGCCTTCGGAGGCCAGAATTTCCAGGCCCAACAGTTTGCTCCCCCTAAGGGTGGTGCACAGACTGCTGCGATTCCCCCTTTCCCCTTCCCCCTCCCCCCCGCACCGGCTCCGCAGCAGCATCCTCCACCGCTGGTGCCGTACCCCATGCCTCCCCAGTTCTCTCAGTAAACGCACCACACACTTGAAAGAAGTAATTTATTGCTTTTTTGTCCGCTTTGTTCAACACCTATTACTGATTTTTATTTCTTTTTGTATTGTACACAACAGGGTTACAAACTTCAGCCTCTACCAAGCCTTTTTAAGATCTGCAGTGCAACAGTAGTGTTGCAGTTTTTTTTCCCCCAGAAAACTATTTAATTTGTTACATTCCCGCAGCAGTAATGTTTAGTTCTGTTTTGTACTAGGTAATTACAAATGTATTGGTTTTCATGTGTATCATTGAAAGTGATGTTAAGCTCCTAATTGGAAGTGCACTGCATGATCTTTCAAATAAAACATTAAAATAAATTTGCAATTTGTATTTTTTGATGTACCACACAGCCGCTTTATGATTGTTCCACTCTTCAGTTTCTGTCCAGCAGATGTCATCCAATGTTTGAAACATTTTAAGTCAGATTGCAATATGGAAATTGGAAACTGCTCAGGATTTGTTCTGTGGGAAAAAAGTTGCAAGTCGTCTAAATAACTTGAGGGAGTTGTATCACCAGTTTTTTGTTTCCTAGTAACTGGATTGGTAACATGTTTTCCCTCATGCTGCACCCTCACTGGTGAAGATCTCATACCTTTATGCTGTAATCCTCCCGTTGGCCAAAATTGCCCATTCACTTCGTACCACGTGTCTCGACTTTAGGTAATTAAAGTGCTTAATGAAAGGGCTTTGCTTCACCATGATGAGTGGATGGTATTAAATCTCCCAAATAAAAGCTTTAACACTGATGAACGGGATCAAGATGTATTTGGTAATGTGTCTTCATTGGCAATAAATGGACGTGTGGTCCTGGAACAAGTGAACGTGAGCATGTACCCTCACTTTGTCAAACTACAATGTAGCTTTCATTTTCAAAAATTACTAGTTTAGAATGTATCTATGAAGTTGGAGTAGTGTTCATATTCCTCTTTTGACCCCAGCTTGTGTACAAAGTAACCTGTTTTCCAAGCAGTTATTCTGCTGTCTCAAGTATTTGCAGACACTCCCTTCAAAAGGTCTCCTCTGTATAAAAATTTGTTCAAAACCGTAACTAGAGGCGACCTGACTCACACTGCCCCAAATGTGTGCCTCCCGATGGAAACCGCACCTGCCACACGCGTGTTCTCAAAGTCCTGTTCAGAGGTCATTGCCCGGCGATCAGAGATGGGATCCGCGGTGAACAGTACCTGCTGCTGAGGAGCGCCGTGGGCGCGGCTGGTCTGAGATGCTTTCAGCATATTTACGGACTTGCGGCCTGGAAGTATGTGGAGTGCTCGGCTGTGTACATACTCAAGAGCTCCTCGTTGCGTGAGTCAATCGCTTCTCTATATTTTTCCGCGTCCAAATATGTGACCACCACACCCTGCTGTTGACATAACTATTAAAATAAAACATGTTAAGCTCGTACTTTCATAGACGACTAAACAGTGAGGAATGTAACACAACTGTTCATGAAACAACTTATTGCTTTTCGTTAATCTAATAGCTGACGAGAGACATTACATTGCACAAGAATTGAACTTGTCCTGGATTGAGATCCACTGAGCGGAATGCTTCACAATCATTTTCATTTGTTAATGCGAGTTAAACCTTGAAATAAGTGAACGGACATGGACTTTGTGATACTTTTGTGCGTGTGTGTGTAGTTTCACATCGTATCGCTGTGGCTCAGAGGTGGAGCTCGTCTGGTAATTGGATCCTCGCGGGGAGCCGACCTTGGACCAGGCAGCGAGCCCCTCACGCTTTGACGAGGCATCTGAGTCACATCCCGATAAGCAGTGAATGGGTGAGTGTGGACATGTTGTGTACAGAGTCATTTAAAGACCATAAGGCGCAACGTAAGTGCAATGCCATTTACCACTGTGGCTTTGTGTGCCCCTTCCGTTGTCTGTGTGAGGGCCTGATGACCAATATGCGTACAGAGGAACTGTAGGTTGTATTTGTAAGAATCAGAATTAGCTTTATTGGCCACATATGCGCAGACACGTGTACAAGAAAGTAGAACAGAGGCACAAACAATGAACTACAGTGTACAAATATAAATAAATATACAAAAGTGTCTGAATATAAAATGGACACAAAACACAATAATGAAACCGAGGCAATGGTGCGGTGTGAAATTCTCACTCTCTGGACAAAGGTCACGGTGTGGCGAGGAGGACCCTGTATATTCTTCAGCCTCCCCACTCAATCACCAGCACTATCTCCTGTTATCTTCTTCTTTTGTTCCCTCAGACCCGCCCTCTCCCCGCAGGTATGTGTGTGTTGGTTTGAGTAGTAACTCGTCTGGGTGTGCGTCAGACACACCCGCTGCAGCCATTGTCCTCCCTTAAAGGAGTCACATTGTTGGACTGGACCACCCACCTGTGCATGTACGTGTTCCGTGCCAACAATAACACACACACACACACACACACACACACCCTGGCAAGTTTAATGCACTGTAGGTTTACACATTGTCTTTGTTATCAGGCGCCTGTTTTGTTGAGACCTTGGCTTGGAAGCCACGCAGGTCATTTCATACGGTGTGTGTGTGTGTGTGTGTGTGTGTGTTAAGCGCTGTCAGGTGATAGTTATGATAGTTCCGCGTATTAATTAATTAATTGATTAATTAATCACAGTCCTGCCGCACCTGCCAAAAGTTTCATGCTGCGGAAAAACAAGTTACACCGTTTCCTCCGGTGCCTTTGGCCCGGACACTGTCACACTATGTCACCTTTCCAGTGCCGCAACTTGAACGTCGGCTGCGCCCAACTATCCAGTGCACATGTCACCGCGCCTGCTCGATGAGGACTCATACTCTCCGCTTTTTTGTTTTCATTCATAATTCTCCCTCGTCAATGTCAGTCATGTGCGTCACACCCAGGTCTTCGTTTGTGACACCTGAATGAACAGTCGGAGCTAACGCTGCCCGATGATGCTGACACACAGCCGCCCGGCAATGAAGCAGCGTCCTGCCAGGTCATGTGGGGCATGATGGAGGTGATAACAGAGCAGCAGCTGACTCAGATGTTGGAACCACTTCTGTGAGAAAATAACAAACACTACAGCAGGCAAATAAAGTGCAGGTAACTCAGAAAAAACCCTAGAAGGAACAGCTTCAAGAATAGTAAAGCCGGAGGGAGGAGAGCAGAACAGGTCGGCCCGCTCCTCCTCTGCCTTCGCCGAGGACACACCTTGCTGGCCTGGGTGGAGCTGAGACAGGTGGACGCTCCTTAACTGGGACGGAGACGAGGGAGAGGAAAGAGGAGAGGAGAGAGTGAGGTTGGAAGAAGCGACGCTTGGACTCCGATTACGACAAACAGACCCTCAAGATGTCGAGCAAACAGGACATCAGTCCTGTAAAGATCAGCAAGTAAGTTCGCTGTGTGTGTGTGTGTGTGTGTGTGTGTGTGTGTCTGGTTTCCTATTCCTGTCCCTGGTCTTTCGCTGTGTTTTCTTCCTGAAGGGCAGAGCTGGAATCGGCTTCACGCTGCAGGCAGGCTGTTCTTTTGTACCATCAAACCATTTATGTTTGCGCGGTGTTTCATTTCACGAGTCAGGTGACACATGAAAAAAACCCAATGATCTTCGTGTGAGGAATCCACACATGTGCCTTTCATTCATTCATTCTTACGTGTGGGAGCCTGGGCTTTGGAAGATGAATGAATGAGCCCTTTGCCTCGATGCCTCGGGACATTATTGATTATCCCGTCGTCACCTTATTCGACTCCTTGACTCATGCACAACACTTTTTGTTGCTTTCTTTGTTTTCATCAAAATGTACTGCCTCACTAAATCTGTTTTCTTCGGTGAGTGTCGGGACTCTTTAAGCTGAACGATCACCCGGGTGCCTTTAGGGCTCCGATCCAACCGGGACGAGGTGGACAGAGTAGCTTGTTGTCATTGTTGTGCGGAGTTTGAGCTCAGGGGAGTGAGCTGCCTCTCACCGTCATCAATCACGTTTTTATGGAGTTTAACATGGCAATAAATGTGTGGACTTCTAGAGAGCTTGAAATGGTGCAACCTTCCCCTGGCTCCTCTGACTACAGTGACTAATCAGGTTGTTTATCACTGGAGGGAGTGGCAGGGCAGCGTCGCTCTGCTGCCGGAGAGCTGTTTGTCCTTCTAATGGACGTGAGTGAGTCAGTCAGCGCGGAACCTGGTGGAACCTGGTGAATTATTCTTCATTATGGTTCAGTTTGAGTGGAGGAGGCAGTATTCAGCTGTACAAACGCACAGATAACACAAGGAGAAGTCAGTGAAGTCAAAGTACGTAGAAATAATCGGGAATGATGGTGTCAAACGGAGTCATACTCAGCAGATGCCACATGTAATTCTGTTATATATGCCTGTTGCATGTTAATGTCTGGGCAGCAAATATCGAACTGATGATTGCCTTTGTTATGGATTCCTCTCCTAATCAATTGATTCAGTCATATTAGAAATATATACATTTATCTGTCAATTCACTAAACTACAACCGTCTTGTGTTTTGCATACCAAAGAGCCCATAACTTGTCACTAGGAGAAGAGTGAAGTGGCAGGAGAAGAAGGAGGAACAGTATCTGGCTAAATGTGAGGAGTCACATTCCATCATTGGGAGTAAAGAAAGCTCTGCTAGAAGTAATCTGCCCCTCCCACCAGCCATTATGCCCCAGCACACCTGTCAGCTGGAAGTCAATGCCACAGATAAGAGCTGAAAGCACTGACAGCATTCCTGACTGCTAATTAGAGGGGGGGACGTGTCCCTCGGGTCCTTATCGGGGCGTGTCTCAGTAAATAGTTGGCTCTAACGTGGCAGGAGGCGTGAACCTCACAAAGAGCACAAACAGGTCCTGAGTGACAAGTCGGGGAAGAGGAGCAACTTTTTCTGTCACTGCCGTGTCGAGTTCAACTGCAAAAGCATTTTTTTTTTTTATATGCGCACACATCTCAAACTTAGTTACAGTAACTAACTGTGTTTACTACTGTACCTTTGTACAACTTTGAGGTACTTTATGTCTTGTTCAAATACTTTTTTTCATACATATATTCTCTTGATAAAAATAATTTAGATTCTCCCAAATTACCTGACTGAGTTCTACAGAATGAACTAAATACTAGCTTGAAGGTAGATTTGCCGGTGTACGTATTTAAGTACTAATGCAACCCAACTAAAGTAACAAAAGTACGTACATACATACTCTACTATTTTGACCATTAAATCTCTGCGTTGTTTCCCAGGAGTCAGGCCACCGACCTGGCTGTGGTGGTTGCTCGCATGCAGAATAATGCAGACCAGGTGGAGAAGAATATTCTGCAATCAGAGAAGCTGCTGGCTGTGGTAAGACGTCCATGTTGGACTTATGACGTCACTACGTTGACATTTGAATTTGTGAAAGCCGTCACTATATCGGTAAAACCTCAGAAAAAGACCCCAAAATCTATTATCTAGACCTTGTATTGATCGTATACTACAGAGTGGCAATCCGTTAATTGAAATAAAATGGTATTAAAACAGATTGAAATCACTACTAATGTAATCGGGTCATTAATTGGCATGTTCACCACATAGAGACCTGGAACACGACGAGGTGATAAAAACACCAAAACCAGCCTAAATAGGACAGGATCCAATAGAACTAGCAAAGGCTTTTACTTATTTATTTTCTTGCTCCCGGAGATTAAAACACGCTTATAATCTGACCAACACAACATTCCTGTGGCGCCCCTGTAGGACACGGAGCGTGATGCGAAGGAGCAGACGCTCATCCACCAGAAGGCGAACGCAGAAAACCTGGCTCAGGCTGAGGGGCTGCTGAAGGACCTCTTCATGGACGTGGACAAGGCCAAGAGGCTGCAGCACCCGCAGGCCGCCGAGATAGAGAGAGAGTGAGTTCATTCTGTCACGCACAGACACACACGGGCATGCGTCCCGCCAGACACACCTAAAACTCGCTGTGTCGCATACCTTCAAGACAAGTCTGTCAGGGTCATTTTCCACATTCCCCATTTAGGCTCTCCACCCATCTACTAACCAATCGCGGAAATGATTATTTATTTTCTCCTTTTCAGTGTGATGAATCTCCACGACCGCTGGGTGAAGGACTGTGCCGTCTACAGGGAGCTCTACTCCCAGGTGCCCGTTCTGGATACGAAACCAAAGATCGACTGGGGTCCTCTGCTGGAACAAAAACTGGTCGGTTCAAGCTCCGGCGCTCTTTCGTTTTAGCATCTAATCATCCCAACGAGTCGTATATGTTCATTTTTCCGCCATTCCGTGATTTACAGAGACAGTTAAAGGCGGACAGATATGGTCCCAGCCTGACTGATGTAGAGAAGCAGATCGCAGCACACAACATCCTGCACCAGGAGATCGAGGCCTACAGCGCCCAGCTGCAGCCCAGCACCACCAATTCAAAGGTAGCAGCTCAAAACCACACACAATCGCACCACGCTGGACCTCCCCAGGATGAATCCTTCATCCCTTTCTCTCTGGTATTTGTTTGCAGGAGCAGTACGACGCCCTCAAAAAGAAACACGCCGAGCTTTACGTGAGTTGAGTTTGTCTTTGCGCCCGTTGGGTCACTTCCCCGGATGTGTTTATGTGACGTGCATGCATGCCGTGCGTTCTGCAGGAGAGCTCCCGGCGGAGACGCAGCGACCTGGCTTCTCTGTACGAGTACTTGCAGAGCTGCAGCAAGGAGCTGGTCTACCTGTCGGGCCAGCAGGACAGAATCATACAGAGAGACTGGACTGATCGCATGGTCGACCCCCCGGGCGTCCGCATGGAGTATGAGGTGAGGGCGTCCTGATCGCGAAGCCGGTAGCGACTGATTTAAAATGGGCCCGCTCATCGTGCCGTCTTGGGATCAGAGGAAGTTCAAGCAGAGATGAGATATCTAATACTAAAACTTGACCGAACCTTTGTCATGTCTCCTACTTATGTTGTTAAACAGAAATTCAAAAGCAACGGACTCCTAGCACATGAGAGTGAGATCAACAAGCTGCAGGGGGAAGGAGATCATCTCGTTAAAACCAAACACCCTGGCAGCTCAACAATAATGGTACATCTGTCCACTGCTTCCGACACACATCTGTATTCTAACTGTGATGAATCACCATGCAAAGTGGTATTTGACACCTTATGGTTACAGACTTTAACAGTGACTTTTTCGTCAGGCGCACAGAGATACTGTGCAAAATGAGTGGCAATCCTTCCTCAACTTGTGCATGGCACAGGAAACACACTTGGACAACGTTGAAGAGTACAAGAAGGTAGCGAGCCTCTTCCCCACCACACTGTGACAATATCTCTTTCACTAAATCAGACATCTCTTGAAAGTGACGATTTGTCCAATCCAGTTCCAGCTGGAAGCGGAGACATTGTCCGAGTCCCTGGAGAGGCTCAACTCCGCTATGCACCCAAAGTCGCTTGGTGAGAAGAGCAACCCTCATGTCCTGATGGCACTGGAGGTACAGCTTTTTTTCTAAAGTCAGGGTTTCTGTGCAGCTCTAGAAAGGATCAAATCTGGAAATGTTGTAACTTGCAGCAAAGCTGTGATCTGCGTGTGAAGAATCAGACGAGTTTGTGTAGGATGCTCAGAGAGCCAATCAGGCACTATATTGTTTGTTCTTTTATAGAAAAGAAAACAATAACTTATATTCACTTGGTGATTCGTAATGAGGACGCATGAAAAGGGATGAAAAACTGAATCAAGTACAGCTTTATTTACGTTTGTAAAAGTTCTAACAAATATAATGCAAACGGAAAAAAAAGAGTCACATCCAATCAAATGTCAAATCAGAAAAAAGAACAATTTGTTTGTAATATATACCCCAATATACATACACACAAATGTTCATAGCTCAGATTTGCATTTGTTCTCATCTTTGCATGCATATTCCTTCTTCTTTTTACTGACTCACTTAAATCTGGAAGCATTAATTATGCTGTCTTGAAATCCACCTAATTTCTTTATTTGGGAGCTCAAGTTCTCCCAATCAAGACTATCGTTGCAACATACAAAGGGAAAGCTGGGAAAATGTCAATATTAGAGTATGATATATGAGATTTTATACATACAAATGTAATAGGTCTGGTCCATCTCACCATGCGTGTTTCAAAGAAATAACCGCTTCGCTCTTCACACGACTAGATCATGAATTAATGCTAAAGTTGGCATATCCTTGTTTGTTTGCATTGCTCCTGTGCTAACTCAACAATACCCTCAGGGTGATGAACCGGCAATAAAGAGGAATGAGCAGCGCCTGGCTGCCCTCAGGGAGCTCAGCAGCAACGTCGCGCCACTGAAGTTACGCCGAATGAAGCCCACCAAGACCACCACTGCTCTGGCCCTGTGTGACTGGGCCAATGAAGAGGTCGGTGGTGATCAGTCGTAGGCAGCAGGCTTTGTTACAACAGCGTGATGAAAAACACTCTTGTTGTATCGTCTTTATTTCATCATCTTGTGCGTGTGGTGCAGGACACGGTGAGGCGGGGTGAGGTGCTAAGCCTGAAGTCCAACTCTGACAATAAGAACTGGGAGCTGCAGAGCAGCAGTGGGAAGACCAGAACCCTCCCCGGGGCCTGTTTCATGGTCCCTCCACCCGATGCTGAGGCGCTGGAGAAAGTAAACAGGTACGGAGCGCAAACTCACCACCTGCCCAAATGTCTGTGTGTGGATCTGAAGGAAACATTGTGTGTGTTTGTGTGTTCAGTCTGGACAAAGCGCTGACGGATCTAAAGAAGCGTAGATCTGCACTAATGGCCTCCTTGAAGAACTCCACGGTGGAGGTGGTCCGCCCTCAGAAAGCCGGTGAGGATAAAGAAATCCTCACAGGACAGCATTGTTTTTGGTTTTACTCGGCTACAAGACCACGAAAGAGATTTGGGCTCATCTAACGTTCTAATCGTAGAGTCGTTGTCTTTGCTCGTCCTCAGCCGCTGTTCAAAGTGCTGCAGACAGTCCCAGAGCTGCCGAGCTGGCCAGTGAATTAGACCGGCTCAACAAAGCCCTGGAACAGAGCGAAAAAGAAATCCTGACTCGACTCCGAGCCCCGCTGGACAACCACAACGCCGCCCAAGACCTGGCAGACAGACTGCAGGAGCACGAGGTGAACATGACACTATGATTAAATATGAAGGTTACAGTTTCGTACTCTTCTTCATCATCATCATCATCAATGCTGCTCCTCCACCGATGAAGAGCTACAGATAGAAATGAGTTAGTAACTAAATCTGTAAAAAAAATAAAAACATCTTTTCTCCTTTTTGACATATCAATGTCATTTTGTGTGCGCCCTACATATGCAAATAATCAACAAGGACTAAAGACGTCTTTCTCGAGGTGATCAGTAACGCCATGTGACTTTGTCCTCCAGAAATCTACCAAGACTGTGAGGAAGCTGGAGTCTGAGAAGTCTGCGATCCAGAGAGAGATGGAGCCTATTCTGGCCAAGAAACCTCTGGGACCCATTGCCTCCACACTGCCCCTCAAACTCAGCGCTGCCAACAACAAGATTGATAACATCAACACCCTCCTCGATCTTTATAGCAAAAAGTAAGTTTCCCTTTTCATCGGATTTTTCAATTATTTTTAAAGTATTATCTTCCCGACATCTTTCCTGATATTACCTGCTATGTTTGTTTCCCGGTAACCAGAGCTACGGCCTCCATGTTCCTGGAGAAGCAGAAGCAGAATGTGGAAGGCATCGTCTCTGGGTTTGAGGGCATGCTTGCTAAAGATGGCGCCATTATGGATCAACCGAACTCCCTCCCGAGTCGCAACCAGCAACTGCAGGTGTTGTACTATATAATGAAACCGAAAACAATCACAGTCACAGTAATCATTTCAGGCTTATATGAGGGGATTCCCCGAAAGGGGTCCAAACCTCTAGATTTCTTTATCGTTGCTTTTTCTCCTTGTGCCAAACAGCTTACACTTAAGGATGTCGCCTCGAAAAAGGATGAGTTGAATAAATTAGGCAGAGAGTTGGAACTGACAGAGCAAGGGGCCAGATCCTTGCAGAAGAGTTTCAATGAGTATTGTCCAGACATCCGCCGCCAGGAGAATGAGGTGAAACGGCTGAGGAACCGTTACACAAATGTCAACAATCAGCTCCAAGACAGGTGAGTAAAACTAGATTCAGGAATGGTTGTCAATTGATTTTTTTTATTTCATTTTTTTACATAAAATTCTCGTTTTTGGTATTTGTCTTTAGGTCTGCTCTCATAAAGGAAGCAACCAATAAAAATCAAGATTTCCAGAATGCTGCTCAGTCACTAGATTTCTTCTTGGTAAATCTTCCCGACAATGCGATCAAACCTACAGACGATGTGGCGCAGATAACAGCCAAGCAAAACTCCCAGATGGTAAATAGATGGATTTCTATCCAAACAACAACCCGTCTCCAACCGTACACACAAACTGACTCACGTCCGTTTGGATTACTTGTCTTGTCAAATAGAAAGTGGTTGCCGACATCAAGAAGAAATCTGGGGATTTAGACCGTGTCAAGTACCTTTCCCAGGATCTGCAGGGTGTTTTGAATGTGAGTTCAAAGAATATGATTCTTCTCATTTACAGTCAATTAGGTATGCACTTCAGATCCTTTAAACTTAATATGCCTTTTCTTATAGGAGTATGCTGTTAAGTCAAACACTTACCGTGGCACTCTGAACGATGACAGTGATGATGTCGATCATGCTGATGACTATGATGAACCAGTCCTAAAGAAACGTCAACCCGCAACTATGGCTCAGGCTGTACAGAGTCAGGTACACTTATAGACAAACACAAAGTAAACTAAGAGCTCCAGGCAAATCTTTGACTTTGCTCTACAATTACTGATGTTGCCGTCTGCTTACGTTACAGGAACAACAACTACTGAACCTTTTCTCTGAGGTGTCTGCAGAAAACAACCAGCTTCTCAGTCAGTTGGGCACAGCGAAGAACATGAAAGCCATGGTACAATATTAATGAATCCAAGCAACATCGAGAACTCTCAAGAATAGAATAATAACAATAATAGAATAATTCCCGGTGTTTCCTGCAAAAAATAATCCTCTTCTTTGTCCTTTTATTTTTGTGCAGAATCAAGAGAAAGTCAGTCAAGTAGTGGTCAACCAGCAGGTGCAGTTACAGAGCCAGAGAAAGGACCTGGAGGAGAGTGGTAGTCTTAAAAGGGAATTAAATGAGGAGGTTGACAGGCGCCTACATGCTGAAAAAGACCTGGAAACATACCGTAAAAGGTTTGTGTCTCTGAAGAATAGAAGAGGAGTGCAGAGGTTGGAGGAGAAGGAGGTGGTGCAATACTACCGTGACCCTAAGCTGGAAGTGGAAATAAAGTCCTTGAAAAGTCAAATCCAGGATGAAGCATCGAAAAGGTCAAGAAACAATTCAGAGATAGACATTATAAATGATAAGATTGTTAAAGTAGAAAAACAGCTGATGACTATCGAGCCAAAACTGGTGACCAAGCAGCTGACTGAATATGAGAGAGACCCACAGCTTGACAAAGAAGCCACCAAGATGAGAGATGAAATACGCAGGAGGAAACTAGAGCTCCAAACGAGAGATACTGAGGCCGTTCAAGTAAAAACTGAGCTCACGTTTCTGTCTCAGCAGAAACCAAGAATCAGGGAGACGGTTGTTAAGAAAGAAGTGGTGAGGCTTGAGAAGGATCCGGAGATGGTGAAGGCTGTTCTCACTTTACAAAATGGTATCTCGGAGGAGGAACTCCAGTGTCAGTCCCTAAACGATAGTATTTTTAGCACAAGGAGTCAGATAAACACACTGGAGAGGGTCATTCCCACAATCCAACCCAAGATAATCACCCAAGATGGTGAAGCAAGTACAGCAAGACAAAGAAATGGTGGAAGAATCAAAGAAACTACAACTAGCCATAGAGGAGGAGAAAGATGAGAATTTGATCTTGATGAAGGAGCTGACCACCCTTGCAACAACGTTACAATGAGGTGGACAAGCTCAAGGCTAAAGTCGAGGTCAAGGAGATCATCAATGAGATCTACAGAGTTGATCCAGAGACAGAAGTTGCGCTGGTGCGTCTGAAGAAAGAGCTGCAAGATTGTTGCCGTAACCGCGCAGACCTGGAGACAGACATGAAGACACTGATAGTGACTCTCACTACCCTGCGCGCTCAGAAACCCAAGGTGGAGTTCAAAGAGGTGACCCAGGAGGTGATCAAAGAAGAGAAGAGCCCGGAGGTCACCAGGGAATTGCAAAGGCTGAACAACCAAGTCTCCCGTCTGCTAGTCAACTATGAAACCACCCTGGAGCTGCTGACCCACTTACGTAAAGAACGAGACGAGCTGAAAGCTGAAAAATCCAAGGTGGAGATCAAGCTGGTCAATAGAGAGCTCATCAAATACGAGAATGACCCACTTGTCGAGAAAGAGGCTGACAGACTTCGGAGGAATGTAAGGGAAGAGATTCAACAACGGCGCAATGTGGAGGAGTGTGTCTTTGACCTCCAGAACCAGTACATTCTGCTTGAAAGGCAGAAGCCGGAGGAGAAGATTGTCATGCAGGAAATTGTGCGTCTTCAGAAAGACCCGAAGCAGTTACTGGAGCATGATAAGTTGAACAAGAACCTGGACGATGAAATAAAAAGCCGCAGAAACCTTGAATTAGAGGTCCGGCAGCTCAGAGGCCTTCTTCAAGATAAAGAACAGAGTGTGGCTCAGATGGACGATCGTCAGAAGAAGATTCAAGTTGAGTCAGAGCTAAGGCAGATCAAATCCCGCATTCTGGAACTGGAAAACTCTCCATTGCCTGTTGAGGAAAGGATTGTCGTCGAGGAGGTCCTGAAAGTGGAGAGGGATCCTAATCTGGAAAAACTCACCGATGGTGTACGTACCGAGAGGGAGACTGAGATCAACAAAATCAGCAGTCTACAGAGAGAAATCCGCAAGCTGAGGGTGAAGTTAGAAATTCTACAAAAGGAGAAGTCAATTGAGAAAGTTGTCTACAGAGAAGTTGTTCGCGTGGAGAAAGACCCGGCAGTGGAGGCTGAAAGGGAACATTTTAGAGAGCTCGTAACACAGGAGAGAAATCTGAGGCGTGACCAGGAGGACAACGTTCAGAGCATTCACCTCAGAATTACTCACCTGCAGTCATCGCAGTCGGTAACTTCTCACGAGGAGACCTCTCTCATCACCAACAGGGATGCTCTGCAGAGAGAGAGGGAGGATTTGCTCCGACAGTTCAAAATGCTGGAGTCCGAAAGACAGACCATCAGCATATCGTTCCAGCAACAGTCAAAGCTGATGAGTGAGAGAAACCAGAATGTACGGCAAAGGGGCATCAAAATGTCCACTGAGGTACAGCGGCTGGAGAAGGAAATCCTCAACGAAAAGGACAGAGTACACCAGAGAAATGCACTCATCATGGAGCTGCAAGGCACCATCAAGAATGAGGAACACACTGAGACTCACACCAGGGAGACAAACCTTTCAACAAAGATCACCGTCATGGATCCAGAAACAGGTAGAGACATGTCTCCCTACGATGCCTACTTGCAGGGGCTAATCGATCGCAACCAATACATTCACCTCGCAGAGTTAGAGTGCGACTGGGAGGAAATGACTTCAACTGGTCCGGATGGGGACACAACGATTCTGCAGGATCGTAAAAGTGGGAAGCAGTACTCAGTCAAGGATGCTCTCAGGGATGGTCGCTTGACCCAGTATGACGTGACGCGCTACAAGGATGGGAAAATATCCATTTCTGAGTTTGCCCTCCTCGTTGCGGGGGAAACCAGAAAGCCCACCCTCCCCCCAATAAAGATCCCAAGATCACCCACCCCAGCCAGTCCCTTGAAGTCAATGTCCCCCTCCCTGAGGTCCTCCTATCCCAGCCTCAACGCTCAGCACAGTGGCAGTTTGAACAACCTCAGTTCTTCAGCAGGTGATGAGCATTTCCCAATCTCTGGCATCTTTGACACCACCACTGAAAGCCGCATGTCTGTGCGAAGTGCCCTGACCCGCAAACTCATTGATGCCGACACAGCTCTGAGGCTGCTGGAGGCGCAAGCAGCCTCCGGGGGAATTGTTGATCTCTCCAAGAAGGACAAACTGTCTGTCCACAGTGCAGTTGAACGCGGTCTCATCGACTCGGGTGACATGTACAAGCTTCTGAATGCCCAGAAGGCTTTCACCGGAGTTGAAGATCCCACGACCAAAAACCGTCTCGCGGTGGGACCGGCTGCACAGAAAGGGTACATTCCCAAGGAAAATGCCAGGAGGTACATGGAGGCGCAGTACCTGACCGGTGGGTTTGTGAATCCCTCACAGGCAGGCCGCCTAACTGTCAAAGAAGCTCTCGCCGGTAATATTATTGACAACACAACCGCTGAGGAGCTCCAAAATGAAGCATCCCACAGGAGAGAGCTGGTTGATCCCATTACTAAAGAGAAGATATCGTACAAGCAGGCGATGGATAGGTGTAAGAGAGACGTCAGCACAGGCCTCCTGCTGCTTCCTGCCGCCTCTACCGACGCCGCAACTGCCCCGTCCTACTCAAACTACCGTCTCAGCTCCTCCCACAACAGAATGTAGATATGAATTTTAGGATGTTTTATTTGCTGCAGCCACTGGTGCTATGGGGTGTGACAGCGCAAAATGATCTACATATATATAAAAAATTACATTTTTTCAATTTATCTTGAGCTGAAAAGCACACTGAAAAACAAACTACTTTTTTGCTAAAGCTGTATATGTGGATCTGCTTATTTTCAATGATATTTTCGCGTTTGCGGTAAAACTGAGGGTAATATTAGTTTTATATGGTGCCTTGTTTTTTAGTGCTTATTAAAGTCAACAAGCCTCATTAATTTGTTCTGTCTTGTTAATTGAAATATCAACAGTGGAATTATTAAAACATGAATCTGCAGTTTTCGTGATAGGCAGTAAGCATTACCACTCATGCAACACTTTCAAAATTCAGCATTATCATGCAAATGTTAGCATTTAGCTCAAAGCACTGCTGTGTAGCCTGACGGAGCTGCTCGCATGTTTGTAGACGCTTGCTGTTAATATTAATATGGATATATACAATTCATGGCACATCTTCCCATTTGGAACCAAAACACAGTGAACCATCTACGGGATCTAATACTTGTGCTGTGCCTAATGTGCAATGCTCGTAAACCCCTGCAAGTCATGTGCTTGGAAATTATGGATTAAGGATACAGATTAAAAGTATGTAATGTGTTATGGTAAACAAGGTCAAACCTTCGGTTCTGCGAACTTTCTGGGCTAATAAAAGACTTGGAAATGTAAAGTACTATACGACCGGGACCCAAAGAGTGGACTTTTTTAGTAGGCATACGTATCAGTGAATGACCTCCGTAAAGGATCTTCCCAAATGGTCTGACAAAAAGAGGTAGACAGAGGTACAAAATCCCTTTTTCCTGGCAAGGAGGAGATTCCACTGGTCGACCCGATCTGACCCCACAGTGGATTTTCCAGTAAACAGTGTTGATGCGGGAATATGTTTGAAGCCTCTCTGCCGGGATGTCTGAATGCCAGATTACCCGGTGACCGAAAGGACTTTGTGGGATTATTGCACATGAGCTTGTCTGGAGGCTGAAGTGGCCCCACTCTGCGTCGAGAGTCGGTAGTGGGGGTTGGGGCCAGAACGTACCACTAAGACTGGAACCAAAACCAAATCATTCTTCCCCAGTCAATCAACAGCAGAGTGATCTCAACGTACGTGTGATGATGTCATCCCGAATAACAAGCTTGCTAAACAGCCGAGAGTGCCCCAGCGCCACATACAGTACGTGGAAACAAAAGGGCCCATTTGCACAGGCCGCTAACAGAGTGATGGTAATTGGCAGCTCCAGTTTGTTTCCATGGATTGTTATTGTCATAATACGAGACTGCAGTGCAGATGGTTTAGACCCTGACAATAAAAATGTGCACATTTGTCGCTGATTCATTGTGCTTGTGAATGACGATGGCGAAGCCTCCTCAACGCCTGCCCTGCAATCATGCCGACGCAACATCAATCGGAATTTGAAGCACATTTAAAGCCTGACTCTATTTTCCCTCGTCATACATCAATGTGAAGGACAGATTGATGAAAAGAATATGTTGCGGGGTCAAGGAGACGCTTCATTTGCATGCTTTTATCAACATCAACGCAAACACACATCAACATTAGAACAGAAAGTATGACGTCGATCTGACAATCATCTAAAATACATTTATTAATATTTACTTATTAAAAGGATATTGCTCATCATCGGTTGAATACCTCTGCCAGAGGAAATAGACTCCAGCAGAGATTGCCCAGAAAGCCAACTGTTCAGAGATGCCAGCTGGCAGCATCAGCTTGAAACCAGCGATGCTGCAAGCCATCTTCATTCTGCAAATGTCTGCCTATAACTTCACTTAGATATTGCCGACATAAACCTCCTCTAAGTCTATTTGACAAGTGGGATTAACTAAATGAGTGTCAACCTGAGAGAGAAGACAAAGTTAACGCGATGTCCACATACCTCCGAATACCAAACTGGTGACATCTCTCGTGTTGGTGTACGATGCGTAAAAAGTGGTGAGCCTTGTTCCCGTGTTACTATTACATGTCAATGTTTGATTCAAACAATCATTTTGTCAGTTTATCTCTTGGCTTTAGCGACATGAAAATACATATATAACACATCAAGTCGACTTTAAAGTTGAATTATTTCCACGGTAAGGAAACAATCTTTGTTTTGTGTATTTGGCAATATATATTAGTTGCTGATAACATGAATAGTATTTGCGTCAGACTTCAAACATCTATCCTGCTTGACCAAGTGACTGAAGTTGTTGGTCATTCTTCCAGGTGACCACTAAGTTTGCCCTTCAGAGGAGCGGAGCTGCTCACCCGACACGTTAGTGGATTAGACAGTGACTGTGTCATGGATTAAAGTGCCGCTCAAGAGCACAAGGCTTCCCACTGGCTGACCTCCACATGTACAGTTCAGAACTGAAGACACTCAGAGGACATGGACGTGGAAGTGTTGCGAAGGAATCTCCGATTTGATAACCTCATCCTGTAAAAGTCTTTCAGACTTCAGACGAAATCGAAATCCTAAATTCTTCGTTGTAAAAAATCTGTATAAAACATTTTATTGAAAACGTGATAATGTGGCAGATATAAACTGTAAAAAAAACGACAACAAAAACATCACAATACAAAGTCTGGATGTGCAGACTAACAGATGAATACCGGCCTCCTGTGTTTACAACACCTAAAGCCCCCTAATAGGAGCTGTGGTTGAGCAGCTAAAGCCTGGTTGCTGACGTCAGTCCATAGTTGTGTGGAGAGCCCAGAAAGGTGCTAAGCAGCTGCAGCTTACCGTCCAAACGTCCACAAGTACAACACAGCATCACTGTAAGTGACAGTAAACAAACTCCACTCCTCCCACAGGTGAGGGAAAAGCACAGGGTGAACAAAGTGGACTAATGAATCACATTTCAGTATAGCACGTTCTTGTTTTTATTGCACACAGCAAAGTAATGTCACAGACGCAGTTTGATATTAGAAGGGGAGAAAAAAAAAGGTTCCAATAAAGCAATCAGCAGTCACTCAAGTAGAGAAAAACCCGACACACTCTCCACAGAGAACAACACTAATGCAAGACAGCCGCCTAAAAACACACGGACCGACATCCTGAGCTTGCTCATATATCGACATGTCCGTCGGTCTTCGCCAGCGGCAGAGTCAAGGGATGCTGAGGGAAGCGGATCGCCTCGCTGTTGCGCCGCATGTACGCGTGGCCGCTGATCGGGTACCACATCTCCGTGAAGGTCAGGTTGGCCACGGTGATGGCGCAGCGGCCCAGCACCTTGAAGCCCGACTTGTGGTAGAAGGGAATGAGGAAGTCCTCGCACATGAGCACTGCGCGGCGCACGTTGGGCAGACAGCGCAGGTACTGCAGGTAGCGCCACATGAGAATGGGCCCTTTGCCCTGCTGCCGGAAGGTGCGGTGCACCGCGAGGATGTGGATGTGGACGGTGGAGCCGCGCGGCTTGTGGAGAATCAGCGCGTCCTGCAGCAAAGCGGTCACACATGGCGATTATCGCGGGCACGTATACGCGTGTGTGTGCTGGTCGGATACATAACATATCGGCGCCTTACTTCAGTGAGTCTGTCCTTGTCCCAGAGAGAGCCGATGATAAAAGCCACCAGCCGGCCCTCCTCGAACCAGCCCATGGACAGCTCTGGACACAGCGTGAGGAAATGACGCACCTCGTCCAGGTGTAGGGGACACTCACCTGACACGGAGATAAACGCTGGGAGAAAGGGGGGGAGGGACACCATGCCGAAACATTAAGTTGGCACTACTTTTCTGCACTCCAAATGGCCGAATACGCATTTATAAAAAAAATATTGAAAATAGATGTAAAATTACAGAAATCCAATGCGAATACAAGAGAAAATGCACAGCGAGTGAATTAAATGCAAAAAGTTATTAAGAGCTCTCGTATTCGATATCTCCACATGGTTTTACGCAGAGTTCTCCGTGCCGTTCACTCGGTGCAACTTGATAGCGGATTAATAGGCTGCTATTAGCGGACTTCTGCTTCGCTGCGTGACGGACGAGAGTCGCCGCTTACCTTCGCGCTCGATCTCGAAGACGCATATGGCATCCTGCGTGTTGAGCGGTCGGACTTCGCTGGCGGGGAGCGTGTGTCTCCTTTGCATGCCGGGGGAAACCGAAGGTGTAGCCTGCATTGGTTTCATGAAAGGCTGCGAGCCCACGACCGACATCACACGACTTTGCAACCCCCCCCCCCCCTCCCCTCCCTTGACAAAAAAAAAAAAGATTCTCCTCCTGACGCTTTCTCTCCCGTTCGGCAGGATCAACTCGACCAGGCCCTGAAACGACAACTCAATGGTTTGTCTGCGTATTTATAGGACAGCTTCCCCGACAGTGACTGAGACCCACCAGCTCATTTGCATGTGAATATTTGATGTCAGTAGATAAATGAATGAATGAATGAAGGTCACAACTGCGTGGAGCCATTTACCAAACCCTGTAATTACCCGCGCCCATTGTTGCTGTTTGTTGTTTGTCTCGATAATAACCCTTTTCTATAGAAGCCGGGTTGCACGCGTGCGCTCATTCACAGTTTACAAAGGTTTTAAAAGTGAAGTGCGGCAAAATCACGAGCAACTGCTCAGCGCAATCGCCTAATTAAAAAGTAGCCTATGTATATTTCTCCCCAACCCTTCCTACTTAATTCATAAACATTATGTAAATAACAATTTCCCACACGCATGAAGGGTCCGGGGACACTTACCGCAGGATGTTGACTCCTGTGCTGGCGAGGTTCTGCGACTCTATACCTCGTTTTCTCCACCTCTATCTCACCTGCTCCACCGCACGTTCCTCCCTCGGTTATGAGGTGATTATTACTATGAGTCACATGATGAAGGATTAGACCTTCACAAGTTGTTTCCACAACTCGGCGCATTACCGACACGTTATATCCGCCCTGCCCGAGCACAGCGTGTGCACGAGCGTTTTCCACACAGTGACCTGTTTCCACTAAAGGTGTTATAATATTATAAGCGTGGGATTCAATTTGACAGCCTGGTCGGTCAATGAGAAGTTTATTTAAAATACAGATTCCCATGAATATATTAATCATCCGTTTTACTCTCACCACAATAATCAACCTTTACCTCACCAGGTAAGAGTCTCCGTGTCATCCACAAAAAGTATCTCATTTTGTCCCACATGGAAGGGACACGTTGGTGTGGCCCCGTTGACCCGTGGAGGAGGCTTCATTGAGCCAGATGACAGCTGTCCATCAGGACTGCCCAAACGCACGACTCATTTCAGCCCACAACCGCTGCGTTGGTAAAAAGTTAAGATCAATTAGTCCACTAGACACACGGTTGACAGAACCCAGAGTTTCCTGGTTCTCGGTGTTAGCTTAGCCTCGCTAGCAGCTGGTTCTGGAGCAGCGGGGCTCTCGGTGTGAGGTTGGTATCTTTGAATTGGCCTGATTCTGATTTGTTTCTAACAACCGTACTATTGTTTGTTAGCATGCTAATCGCGAGCTAAACTAAGTTAATTGCCAATTAGCCACCATGCTAGGTGGACCTGGGTTGTCGACACACAAATGCTATTTTAAGATAAATGCTTTTTTAATGTAGTGTTGGTTATTGTGAACAGTTTTACTCCTTATTCTGGTGAATATAATGTGTTTTTTGTTTACTAATAATGTACCAGTTTTTGTACTTCTACTGCAAAGTATCTGGCTCAGCTGGTTGCTATGACGTAGCTTAGCATGAGACACCTCACGTGGAGGACTTCATGTTTCTGTCTCATGTCCAGCAGAGAAGAGCTGACACGTAACCTCCTGGACAACTTGAGTATTTTCATCTGAAATGTTGAAATTTATTCCTTTTATGTTTGATGACCTCTGTCTATATGTAATTGTTATTTTTTCCATGGTTTTACAGGTGTGCATTTCTCTCATTCTCTTTTCATTAGACAAAATACTTAAAACGGACTACCATACGTTGTCTTTGGTCACTCCTTGTGGGCGAGTGGGGAGCACGGCTGTCCTCCAATCAGAGGGTTGTCGGTTCAATCCCAGGCTCTGCTAACCCACATGTCAATGTGTTCTTGGGCAAGACACTTAACCCAACATTGCTCCTGTAGCTGCAACTACAGTGTGTGAATGTTAGTTACTGATGGGCAGGTGTCACTGTGTGTGGTTCTCCTGTCATCAGTGTGTGAATGGGTGTGAATGGGTGAATGATGTCATGGAGTGTTAAAGCGCTTTCAGTGGTCAGAAGACTAGAAAAGCGCTATACAAGTACAGACCATTTACCATCTCCTCAGGCCCTGGAGAAAATGGTCAGATGTGGTCCAGATGAGAGGAGGTGATGAATAGGACCTCACAACAGTGCTTTATTTTTATTGGTAATCATTTCCCATCTTTCATTGAAGATCATTGAAGATTAATGTACTTGTCCCCCAATACAGAATAAAGGTCATCTGATGAAGACAATGCACAGGTAAAAATATAGAAAGCCATTTCTGTTTCTTTCTTTTTTTTCATTTCCAGGGGAAATTTTACTTTTTTTGCTGTTTTTTTTTGTCTGACAGCTGTTGCTGTTATGATGCATGGACACAAAATGATTATGGACATATTGGGTATTTCTTTGTCCATGAGTTCTTGGATGTTCCTCCATCATATCTGTCTTATAGTCCGAACAACACCCATAGCTGTGCAGAGAGTTGTGAATGCATTGTGAATATTTCTTATGTCCATGTTCTCCTGGACACAAACATATTGTATACAACTACATTTTTTGATGTTTAAATGTTTAGCTTTTTTGTTTTGTTTTCCAGTAATCTTTTTTCAACAGGTCATAACCACAAAATCAACTTCCCAAAATTTGATGGAAGACTAACCCTTCACCACCTCGGATTTAAGAGGTTATTTAATTAGATTTTAATGTGTTTTGATAGTGGTTGTTCAATCTCTAAATAAATGGCATAAAAATGAACTGCTCTTTTGTTTTATTTCTCCAGCATACACAACATTGCAGTATCAACACCACAGACAATGTATCACTATCATCATTTTCAGAATAATTGTCATATTGAGGTCTTTTCTGTCACAATGTATTTTTGTAATAGGGTGTAACACAGGCAGAATCATAATCATTTTCAAAGTGTACATTGGTGTAGATAAGTCAACTTGGATACAATAACTCATATTTCAATATTCATACGGAAGCAAATTATTCTTACGAATAGAAAAACACTATTCAGGTACAGTTCAAATTTAATTTGTAATGCTTTAATGCATTCAGATATTTATTACAACCAACACATTGATGATTTAAAAACCTGCTTCCATGACTAGAATAAATATAATTTGATATTGAAATTACACAAATTGCAATAACTTCACCTTTACTCAATAACTTTACCTTTTCATTTGGTTCATCTGTTGTCTTCAAAGGTTCTGTCCGTCCCCTCCACTGGTTCCGGTTCGTTCATTGGTCCGATGGGTGCGTGGACACGGCTGTAACCCACTCGTGGGTTCCAAGGACGCTCTGACTTGCCCTACTCCACCACACTGGTAAACTATTATCACAATAGTATCAATGCACTCATCGACACATTTGCTTTATTTGGTATGTTTTCATCTTCCTGTTTGTGAGTGGTGCTCCCATGAACGCGCTCACGTGAACGCCCCTCGCGCCAGGTGTTAATGAGGAGCGGATCGATCGGGAAGGTGGTATGTCGATGGTTTCCTTATTTGTTTCTTACCAGCCTTTATGTTTAATTAAAACAGCCTGGAAAGGATGTTGTAGACTTATTGCATATTGTAATGCCTCAGTGGAAAGATTTGATGATGTTTCATGTATTCTTTATAGCTTTAAATGCTTAATTGATGATCTAGGAAATTCATTTTCGTAAACGAACAGCTGCTGTTTGTTAAACCACTCGCATCTTTGTCTGTAGAATGTGGACCACTCCTTTTGATTTTAATGCCATTGTTCTATTAACTCCAATGTTAAGAAACCGTAACAAGCGTAGCTGTGAAACACGTTGGTGGACTTGTTGTAGTTTTCAACTGCTGGCTCACATTCTGATCAACCGGGTTTTAAATAGATGAATCCAGCACTGCGGTCAACTCAGCAGACGCTTGAATCTTAGTGCACGTGTATGCTGATGTTTACGATATAGAACAAGTAACCGGAATAAAAGCAATTTAATCAAAGATTCTGGACAATGACTGAAGTATGTGTGTTCAGGACCATTCTGACAAAAAAGGAATACTTTTACTCTACGAAGTTAGATAATTATCCTGTTTCAAAAGGACCATTTCTCAAAGTTTGAACTGCAATAAAAATACTTTTCTCGATAATTCCAGTCCAAGACTAACATACATATGTTAAGAACATCTGACCACTATTGTAAGAAAAGTGAAATATTTCCAATGTACAGATTGAGATTTCTTCAAAGTAAAAGCCTTTAATAAGCCTAGTCTTTATAAGTTTAAAAATACCCTATCTTTTGCATATTTGAAATAATTCCAGGCAAAGACCAATGTCCTCGTATTAAGGACATCTCTGGCTACTGAGAAGTGTTTTTACTGTACAGATTGAGATTTTGCCAAAGTAAAAGCCCTATTTTTGCAAGTTCAAAAACACAATTTCTTGAAGTTTGAACTGCAATAAATGCAAATTTCTAAATAGTTCCAAGTCATTGCCCAGAATCTTGATTAAACAGCTTTCATTCCTTGTTTAATACCGTAAATGTCATCATATACGTGCACTAACATTCAAGCGTCTGCTGACTTGACTGCAGTCTGTTGTATCACTATCAGTTGGTCACTCCGCCATGTTTGGTTCGTGTACTCCACCTCTACGGCTACATGATGGCGCTAAAGAGAAACCTTTTTACTAAATGCTTGGGGCCCAGTGGGTTTCAGTGCAACTGTGTTTCTAAACTAAAGTGTTTCCCATCTTAAAACATATCTCACATTGATGGTTGCTGCATTTAAAATGATACTGAAGTGAAACTGATATAATCTAACTTTATAAAATGATTAATTAATTAGTACATTAATAATAATACATTATATCACATTGTTGAAACATTAATTTGTAAGACATATTTATGTACTTCAATATTGTAGCTGTCAGGAGGACTGTGAAAATGTATATTTTCTAAACGGATTGTTACGTCCTCTTCTAGGGTTGTCTAGGTGGCGCGTGGGGGGGACACAGGTCAGTCCGTTTATAATAAATAGAAACATTTTTAAGCATATGCAAACAGCTGACCAGACATTTCATGTCTGAAAAATATACAATAATTCGTATGTGGAAATTATTTATTTATCAGGGCCTTTAGTCGGGCGAAAGCCCTATTGTGTTCCAAAGAATTCTTCTTCTTATTTCTCCACTTTAATCACACTTTTGAGGCCTTTATCATATTCAAAAACTCTTGAATTTTGGCGTATGAATCAGAAGTGCGAAAAATGTAGATATTCTTTGGGTTGCGCATTTGGGGATAAAAAAATGTCTCTCTAGCGCCCCCTGGAAGTTCTCCCTCTGGGAAAATGTTTGCCCAGTTTCCCATTGCCTTGCCTTGGATATGCTCTACAAAAAAGTCAATCATGGTATGCAAATGCAACTTGCAAGATTTTCCGCCAATTTGAATTTTGTGAAAAACACGTTTTTGCGAACTCCTCCCAAACGCTGGGTCCAATTCTAACGAAAATTTCCGGAAATCATTATTGGGTAACTGCCAAGTTAAAAAGTTAAAAGCTTGTTTATATCTCATTGGGTTTTGAAGCTATGGACCAATGAAGGTTGTAGGGGTGTGTGGCCTAAAAGTGAAAGACCTATAACTTCCAAAGTAATTGGCTTG